AAGTGCGCGCGGCGACGCGGCGCGAGCGACGCGCGCGAGTCGACGCGACGGCGCACGCGCTCCGACGACGATCGCGTCGGCGCGGGGAGCGCGCCGACGCGACGGGGGACGAATCCTCCGCCGCGTCGACGGCCGATCGCCGGCGCGGACGCGGCCGAGTTTCGCTTTCTCCGCCGCGGCAGATGAAGAAAATCTAACCCTAAGCGCGCCGGAGTCGCGCGATGGTGACGTCGCGACGCGCGCGCGAGCGCCGCGACGAGGTCGAGAACGACGCGAAGACGTGTTGGATGCGACACGCACCTTCTGGTAGCAGGCTCACCGCGTTGCGCGTTGGAAAAGGGCGAGAGCGCGCGACGCCGACGAGCTAAGACGGCGAAAACAACGCGCGAGAGCGTGTGTGCCACCGACCGCTCTTGAAACTGCGTTGCTTCGCTTTCAATTGATCGGTATTTATTTCTTGAACCGTAAAAAACTTTTTTGAAAGACTCGTCGCCGATCAACCGGCAAGAGGCCGCGGACTTTTGCACGAATTTCAAGTGCTCGCGATGCCTCCGCTCCGCCGTCATAGCGCGAACTAGCCGCGCGAACACCCACCCGACGAGCCGACGCACTGGGCTCCCGGGTGGTATTAGCAGTGCGAAGCGAACCGGAGGACCTTAGCGTCGCTCGAGTATTTAAGAGCGAGTCCGTACCGTCGTCGCAAGCACAAGCAAGAGAGAGAGAGTCCGCAGTTTGTTGGTTTTCCTCCCCTCGGGGAAGCGTGCTCGCTCGAGGAAGCTCGAGGCGCAGGCCGCGCGCGCGCGTTGGGTGTAGCGTCTCGAGGAGCTCGAGACACGCCCTCTCTACCCCCTCGGCGTATCGCGTCTGATAAGACCCAGCGGTCGATCACGACTGCGGTTTTGTCCGGCGCGATGGCGAGACCGATGGGGGGAGATACGCGCGCGCGCGCTGGTGCGGGCACTCTCCGATGGGGCGGTGGCCACCGCCGCGGAGGATCATGGCGAGGAAAACTCGCGCTCATCGTGATGATGATGATGTGTTTCTTGGTTCCGACCGGTGCGTCCTCGCTCGATCCGCGAGCCCCGTCGCGCGACGCGCGGCGCGCGTCCTCTCTCGCGTGAGCGTCGTTCAAACGCCCCGTCGATTTTTCGTTTTGAAAGCACCCTGACGTCCGTCCGTCCCCTCCCGCTTTCATTCCCGCGACCGTCGCAGTCGGATACGAGGTCCCCGAGGTGGAGTGGGTGCACCCTTTGGAAGGGCAGAGCGGAGGCGGCGCCGTCATCACGGTGCAAGGGACGAACATAGCTTCGATACGGAACATGTCAGGGGTGAATTTGTTTTGCAAGCTCGACAGCGAGCAGGTCCCGGCGAAGTTCCTTCACGACGACGTCGTGGAGTGTCACACCCCGCCGCACGTCGAGGGGTTCGTGCATCTAGAGTTTACACTGAACGGCGAACTCACGTCGAATCCGTCGAAAACGCCGTGGAAGGAGAGCTACATGTACGTCGCCTCCGGGAGCGTGAAGAACATTTTTTCGTTTTACGGCTACGGCGGCAGCGTGATCGAAGTCAGAGGCGAGGACTTCAAGCCAGGGTACGCGTGCAGGATAGGGGCGAACCCCGTGCCGACGCACTTCGTGTCGAGCACGTTGTTGCGATGCGAGGTTCCCGGGCACGTAGAGGAGTCCGTCACCGTGGACGTGTCGAACGCGGCCGGGACGTTCGGGACGTTCAGCGACATCGAGTTTCAGTACACGCCGAAAGCGGTAATAAGCCAGGTGTCGCCGAGGATGGGAAACAGCCAAGGCGGGACGGTTCTGTCCGTGAACGGCCGAAATTTCGCGAGCACAAACATGTTGAAGTGTCGCGTGGGCACGATAGAGATGAACGGGGTTTGGAAGAGTTCCACGGACGTGGAGTGCGTCACCCCGGCGGCGCAACCGGGGCCGGTGAATTCGACGATCGGCCGCTTGGTTCAAATTTCCACGAATCAGAAAGATTTCACAACCGGGGAGATGAAGTTTATGCATCAACCCCTCTCCGGCGTGGACGCGGCGTTCCCATCGAGTTTACCCGCCGCGGGAGGCGCGCCGGTCGCGGTCCACCTGCCGTTAGCGCACCCCTCGGAGGATCCAAAGTGTCGGTTCGGGATCACCGTCATGCCGGGGGTTTTAGAGGCGCACCTCGGGACGGTCGCGTGCGTGAGCCCGTACTCTCAACCCGGGTTCGTCGCCGTGCACGTCGCGAGGAACGGCGCGGATTTCGAATACTTACCGCCCGGCGTGGTGGACGGGAACGGCGTCATTGTCGAGATGAAAGTCGCGATGGAGGTTATCGTCGTGTTCCCTGAGGTTGGCTTTAAAGGCGGCGGCGGGGTCGTCGAGGTGACGGGCGACCACATCTTGTACGACGACGTCCAGTGCGTGTTCGGGACAGACAGCACGACCGCACACGTCGTGTCGTCCGCGTTCATATACTGCGAGGTCCCCGCGCACGACGTGGGCGTCGTGACGTTGGAGCTCGCGTCCGCGGCGTCGGGCGCGACGGAGCCGCTCGTGCGTCCAAACTTCTTATTCGACGAGATCCCGGTCGTGTCCTCGATCAAGCCCGCGAGCGGGTTCTTACACGGCGGGAACACGGTGACCGCGCGTGGGGCGCACTTCAGCGAGATTCACGACATCGCGTGCAGGTTCGGCTCGATCGGGCCGGTCGACGGGGAGTGGATCGCGGACGACGAGCTGCGGTGCAACGCCCCGGCGCACGCCGCGGCGTTCGTTCCCTTTAACGTCGGTCTGCGAGACGATTACGCCCTTCGCGGCGGCGCAAAGACAGACGTGATGTACGAGTACGCGGTCACGCCCACGCTGACGACGGTCGTGGAGAACGACGATCGCACGGTCACGGTGTTGGGTACCGGGTTCGTTCCTGGCGAGAAGGTGTACTGCGACTTAGGCTCAGGGAACGGGTACGTCGAGGGGACGGTTCAGGACGAGCACACGATTCTTTGCGCGACCGGCCTCGGCGGCGCCGCCGTCGTCGCGGGGAACATCACCGTGAACGACGAGGACGGGAACAGCGTGTTGACGCCGCTGAGCACGGACGCGAGCGAAGTCAGCACGATCGCGCTCGCGCCGACGTCTATCGACAAGGTGACGCCGACCGGGCCGCGATCGGGCGGGACGACGGTCGTCGTGCACGGTGAGAACTTCACCCCCACGGCGCTGTGCAGGTTTGGCACGAGCCCTCCCGTCGCCGCGGCGTTCGTGTCTTCGAAACAGATCGTGTGTGAATCCCCGTCGCATAAATCCGACGGTGGCGTGACTTTAGAAGTCTCCAACGACGGCTACGATTGGACGTCCGCTGGGTACGTGTTTGCATATCAAACCCCCGCGTCGCTGTCTTCCGTGACGCCGCGGCAAGGCTCAATCACGGGCGGGTCTTTACTCCGCCTGAGCGGGTCGAACATGACGAACACGGACGTTTTGTCGTGCCGAGTCGGGACGATATCTCACATCGCGTCGAGGTGGCTCTTCGCGACGACGACGTCGTGCCATCTTCCCGCGCACAGCGTCGGTTTGGTCCCGCTCGGGTTACAAACGCACGTCGCGGACCATTTCATGTACGACGTGTTCTTCGACTACACTCCGCCGCCGAACATTTCGTCCGTGTACCCTACTAGAGGAGCGGTCACGGGCGGAACGCGGGTGACGTTGGCGGGGGTGAACCTCCCGCCCACCGGGCGGGTCGTGTGCCGGTTCGGAGCGACCCCGGTGACGGCGCTGCAGCGAACGTCCACGCAGGTCGTGTGCTCGACCCCGGCGCTGAGACCTGGAATGTCCACGGTTGAAATTTCCGTGAACAAGCAAGACTTCACGCTGACCGGGTTGCAGTTTGAATACGTCGCGTCGCCGATGATGCTGACGGTGACGCCGAAGACTGGACCGACGGTCGGAGGGACCGTGATCGCGGTGCAAGGCGATCACTTCACCGCGGACGCGAGTGAAATCGGGACAAGCTGCGTGTTTTCAAACTACACCAGGGGTGAAATCACGTACGTGATATCCTCGCGGTTGCTCCGGTGCGAAGTCCCGTCTAGCGCGCCGCTAGGGAACGCGTACGTCGGACTTTCCGTGAACGATCTGGACACCACGTCAGAGATGCAGACGTTCCGTTACCTTCCCCCGCCGGACATCGAAGCCGTGTATCCGCTCGCGGGAAGCGAGGCTGGGGGTGGCGTCGCCGTCGTGCACGGGACGTTTTTGTTCGACTCCGATCAAGTCGCGTGCAAGGTCGGGTCGATCACCAACGTGCACGCGATTCACGTCACCGCGGATGAGATTTCGTGCCTGATGCCCGCGCACGCGCCCGGTCCTGTGCTCATCGACGTCTCGCTGAACAAACGAGATCACACGCAAGTCGAGGTGATGTACACGTTCGAACGCGTCATCTTCATCGAAGGCCCGGTTCCCACGAGGGTCCTCGCGGAGGGTGGAGGGGAATTTTCGCTCTCGATTTGGCCGGAGGACAGCAGCGCGCAGCTGAATTGCGTCGTCGACTCGCATCCCGTGGCCGCGTCTAGGCTGAGCACCGGATTATTCGCGTGCATATCGCCACCCCACGCTCCTGGATTCGCCGCGCTGGCGTTGCAGATTGAGGATAACGAGCTCTTATCCGCGCACTCTGCGATTTTGGAGTATCAAGTCACGCCCATCGTGACCGCGTTGAACCCTCCGAACGGAGTCGTCGGCGGCGTCTCGATCATCAAAGTGTCCGGTCATCACATGGTCGGCCACGAGGTGTTCTGTCGATTAGGTTACGATGGCCAGGTCACCGCGGAGATGGTGTCCTCAGCGCTGTTGAAGTGCGAGGCTCCCGCACACGAGCCGGGGATAGTGGTCGTCGAGGTCAGCACGAGCGACCAGGGCGAACAATTCTCCCATAACGGCGCGATGTACGAATACGCGGACGAGGCGATCGTCGTCGGACTAGACCCAAGAGAAGGCCCTCAGAGCGGTGGAACGATCGTGAGGATGGCGCTGCACAACGTGGACGCTCACGCGCTCGCGACGTGCAGGTTCGGAACGATCGGGCCGCTCGCCGGGCGCATGGCTGGGTTTGGCGCGGAATGCGCCGCGCCGGCGCACGACGTCGGGATGACCGCTGTTGCCGCGAGCCAGAACGACGAGGTATGGGGAACGTCCGAGGCCGTGTTCGAGTACGGGTCCTCCGCGGAAGTGTTCGCGGTCGTACCCGAGGCTGGTCCCGTCGGCGGCGGATCGATGGTGCGCGTCATGGGCAGTCGCATTCGCGGCGAAGTCGTGCAGTGCAGGTTCGGCTTAGAAGTCGTGAACGGCGAATACGTCGGCGGCGACGAGCTGTGCTCTGCGCAGCTGCAAATCAGAGGCACCGCCGCCGCTGGCGAGACATATTCAAGAGGCGAGCAGTGCATGGGATGGGTGGAGGTCGCGTGTGTCACGCCAACGCACGCTGCCGGCTTCGTCACCGTCGAAGTCGGCGCCATAAGCGAGGGTTTCAGCACGAGCAAGCTCGTGTTCGGGTTCCAAGCCGCGGCCGTGGTGCGCTCTTTGCAGCCGTCGTCGGGTCCGTCCGCGGGCGTCGGCGTGGTAAAAGTCAGCGGCGAACACTTCATCGGCTCCGAGGCGCTCTGCGGATTCGGATCCTCCGAGCCGTCGACCGCGGAGACGGTGTCGTCGGCGCTCGTGAAGTGCGAAGCTCCCGCGCACGGCGCGAGCAGCGTCGCCGTCGAGTTGAGCACGAGCGATCACGGGCAGCAATTCAGCCACAGCGGCACGGTGTACGACTACACCGACGAGGCGGTCGTGCTCGGATTGGACCCGCGCGAGGGACCTCAACACGGCGGCACGGTCGTGAGGATGATCCTTCTCGACGCGGACCTCGTCTCGTCGTGCCGATTCGGAACGATCGGGCCGTTGAACTCTCGCGCTGCCGGTGCTGGCGTCGAGTGCGCCACCCCCGCGCGCGACGGAGGCTTAGTCCCCGTCGCCGTGAGCGCTAACGACGAAGTATGGGGCACGTCCGAGGCGGTGTTCGCGTACGGATCCTCCGCCGTAGTGTACGCGCTAGTTCCCGAGGCTGGAACAATCGGCGGCGGCTCGATGGTGCGCGTCATGGGCAGCGGACTGCGCGGCGAAGTCGTGCAGTGCCGCTTCGGCATGGAAGTCGTGCACGGCGAGTTCGTCGGCGGCGACGAGTTGTGCACGGCGCAGCGCGCGTTCACGAGCCTCGGCGCGAACCGCGAGGAGCAGTGCATGGGCTGGGTCGAGGTCGCGTGCTTCACGCCAACGCACGCCGCGGGCGTGACCACCGTCGAGGTCAGCGCGCTGAACGGCGGGTTCAGCACGAGCAAGGTTGAGTTCGAATTCCGAGCCGCGCCGGTTTTGTTCTCGATTCAGCCGACCGCGGGTCCATCCGCGGGCGTCGGCGTCGTGAAGATCACGGGCAAACACCTCGTCGACGCCGACGTGCTGTGCGCGTTTGGATCCTCGGAACCCGTCGGCGCAGAGATGGTATCTTCTGCGCTCGTGAGGTGCGAAGCCCCCGGTCACTATCCCTCGAGCGTCGCGTTGGAGATGAGCACGAGCGACGGTGGTCAGACGTTCACGCAGAGCGGCATGGTGTACGACTACGCGGACGAGTCCCTCGTGTTCGGGATGGAACCGCGCGAAGGGCCCCAGACCGGCGGCACGATCGTGCGACTCGCGGTACTCGACCCCGAACTCGTCTCGTCGTGCCGGTTCGGAACGATCGGTCCGATGTACTCGCGCGCGGCGGGCGGCGGCGTCGAGTGTGCGACCCCGGCGCGGGACAGCGGTTTAGTCGCGGTGACCGCGAGCTCGAACGACGAGGTATTCGGCACGTCCGAAGCCGCGTTCGAGTACGGTTCGCTGGCGTCCGTTTACTTCGTTTCCCCCGACGCCGGCCCCGTCAGCGGCGGCACGATGGTGCACGTCATGGGCAGCGGAATCCAAGGCGACGGCGTGCGGTGCCGCTTCGGCATGGAAGTCGTGCACGGCGACTTCATCGGAGGCGACGAGCGGTGCATGAACGGCGAGTGCATAGGGTGGGTCGAAGTCGCGTGCGTCGCGCCTCCGCACGCCGTGGGCCTGATCGCCGTCGAGGTGAGCGCGATCGACGGCGGGTTCAGCACGAGCAAGGTCGAGTTCGAGTTCCGAGTCGCGCCTACCGTCTTCTCCGTGCAGCCGTCGACCGGCCCGGTCGCGGGCGTCGGCGTCGTGAAGATCACGGGCGCGCACCTCATCGGCGGAGACGCGCTGTGCGGGTTCGGATCCTCCGACCCGGTCAGCGCGGAGGTCGTGTCGTCCGCGCTCGTGAAGTGTGAAGCCCCCGGTCGCCACTCCGACGGGATGGTCTCGTTGGAGATGAGCACGAGCGACGGCGGTCAGACGTTCACGCAGAGCGGCATGGTGTACGAGTACACCGAAGAGGCGGTGTTACTCGGGTTGGAGCCCAGAGAGGGCCTCCAGAGCGGCGGCACGATCGCGCGGTTGATTTTCAACTCTGTACACGCGCCGCCTTCGTCGTCGTGCCGGTTCGGAACGATCGGCCCGGTGACTTCGCGCGCGGCGGGCGGCGGCGTCGAGTGCGCGACCCCCGCGCGCGACGGAGGCTTAGTCCCCGTAGACGCGAGCTTCAACGACGAGGTCTTCGGCGTGTCCGAAGCCGCGTTTGAATACGGTTCCTCCGCGGTCGTGCACGCAGTCGTCCCCGACGCCGGCCCCGTCAGCGGCGGCACGATGGTACGCGTCATGGGCAGCGGCATCGGCGGCGAGATCGTGCAGTGCAGGTTTGGCTTCGAAGTCGTCCACGGCGAGTTCGTCGGCGGCGACGAGCGGTGCATGAACGGCGAGTGCACCATGGGCTGGGTCGAAGTCGCGTGTGTCGCGCCTGCGCACGCCGCGGGCGTGACCACCGTCGAGGTTGGCGGCAAAGAGTACGGCTTCAGCACGGGCAAGATCGATTTCAACTTCCGAGCCAGCGCTGTCGTGTTCTCCGTGCGTCCATCCGCGGGTCCGACCTCCGGCGTCGGCGTCGTGCACGTCGACGGCGAGCATTTTGTCGGCCCGGACGCGCTCTGCGGGTTTGGGTCGTCCGAACCGTCGAGGGCGGAGATCATTTCGTCCGCGCTCGTGAAGTGCGAACCCCCCGCGCACGCCGCCGGTCTCGTCGCGGTCGAGATGAGCACCGCGGATTTCGGCCAGGTGTTTTCCACGGATAACATCGCGTACGCGTACGAAGAAGACGCGTTCCACGTCGGCGCGAGCCCGACGGCGGGTCACAACGCCGGCGGCACCGTCGTCGACGTGACGTTTAGCGATCGACCGTCGAATCACATCGCGTGTTCGTTCGGGTCGATTTTCCCGGTCGTCGGACAAAACAGCGCGTCGTCACTGTCGTGCGTGTCACCGGCGATGATGCATTACGACGATTACGTCGCGTTGGGCTCGTCGTACGCGTCTCTGATCGCGTCTTCCGACCCGATGCGATTCTCGTTCGTTCCGCAACCAGAACTGGAGTACGCGCTTCCTCTCGTCGCGCCGAATCTGGGAGGGACGACGATCACGCTGCTCGCGGATCCCATCATGGACGGATCCGGCGTGGTGTGTCGATTCGGTACGACGATCGTGCCCGCGTCTCGCGCCGCGGCGGTCGTCGGCGTCCAAGGCGTTTCCAACGACTTGTACGACGAACGTGGGAACTACAACCCGAACGTCGCGAGACAACCGGCGGCGGTGACGTGCGACGCGCCGGCGATTCCCGCGGGTTTCACGACGATCGACATCGGCGTCGACACCGGAAACGGCGCGGGATACGCGTTCCCGTCCGACCGCGCGATGGTCGACTTCGAGTACGAAGTCCCCGCGTCCGTGCTTCTCACGATTCCGAGCGTCGGCGCCGCGAGCGGCGGCTCCGTCGTGCACGTCCAAGGAACGCACTTTTCGCGCGCGAACCGACCGTGCGGTTTCGGATCCGCCGCGCCTTCATCGACGGTGTTTGTCAGCTCCGCGCTGGTGTCGTGCGAATCGCCCGCGAGCGTCGAAGGCGCCGTCTCCGTGGAGATGAGCTTGGACGCGTCGAACGAGCGCTGGACCGAGAACACGGTGCTGTTTGCGTACGTTGAGCACTTTCCCGTGTATGCGATCGAACCGTCGTTCGTGATCGAGTCCGGCGGGAACGTCTTCAAGCTGCACGGCGAGGCGTTCCACGCGGACGGCGTCAACGCGTGCGTGTTTGGTTCTATCGGGCCGCTGTCCGGGAAATTACTCAACGCGGATCGACTCGAGTGCGTGTCCCCAGCCGCAGCCTTGGGCGACAAGACATTGTCCGCGGTCAGTTTCAAAAACGCGAGAGACGTGACGTCCGCGGCGACGGTCGTGTCCGTCGTACCGTTAGCGAAAGCGGTCGTGGCGTTCCCCACTCACGTCCCTGTCACCTCAGGTAACGCGGTCACGGTCGTCGGCGTCGGCATGAGCGCGCTCGAGAGGCCCGTCGAGGACGGCGTCGGCGGGCTGTGCGCGTTCGGGGACTGGACGACGTCCACGACGTGGATCACCGGAAACGAAATCCCCGGCGAGGTCGTGCACCCGGACCGTTACAGCGCGGTGAGCTGCGAGACGCCCACGTCATCCCCCGGGGTGGTGTCGTTCTCGATTCACGCCGCGCGCAGCTCGCAGCCCTCGGACGTGACGTTCACGTTCTCGCCCTTGGCGTCCGTGCAGAGGATTCACCCGAGCACGATCACGGACGACATGAGCGCGGTGATTCACGTCTTCGGGGACAACCTGCCCGAGGAACGAGGGTCCGCGGAGACTGGCTTCATGTACTGCGCGTTCGGTTCTTTCGAGTCCACGACGCGCGCGGTCTTCGTCTCCACGGCGATGATCATCTGCGAAGCGCACGCGCAGGCGCCCGGGATGGTTCAGCTCGACCTCATCAGCGACCACGGCCAGGTGTGGACGACGGAGAGCTCGTCCGTGCTCGAGGTGACGCCGTTCATCCGCGCGGTCGCGGTGGATCCGTCGTCTGGATGGGAAGAAGGTGGCGTCTCCGTCGAGGTACACGTCAGCTCTCTCCCTCCCGCGCCCGCGAAGAACGCGATGTACCCTCCGTTCGCGTGCCAATTCGGCTCGATCGCGCCCGTCGCCGCGCGCGCGAGCGGGACGTCGATGTTGTGCACCGCGCCGGCGTCGGCGCCCGGGCCCCGAGCGATCGGCGTCGTTCCGGGACGCGGTCTGCAGCGAGGCGCGCCCGCGTTCGAATTCGTGCGAACACCAGAGTTTACGGGTGCGGTCCCGCTGCACGTCGCGTCCACGGGAGGCTCGAGCGTATCGTTCGCGTCCGTGTACCGATTGCCTCTGAACGTCTTGGCGTGCCACGTCGACGGCGTCGTTCAAGCTGCGGTGATGCAATCGTCCACGACCGTATCGTGTGTGATGCCGCCGCACGCGCCGGGTATCGTGCAAGTATCCATCGCGCACGCGTCGAACGCGTACGGCGCCGCTCTGACGAGCAGCTCGGTCGATATCGAGTACATCTCTCCGTTCGACGTGAGAGCGCACTACCCGAACCGAAGCCCGACGATCGGAGGCACCGTCGTTGAGCTCTACGGCTCGAATTTCATGCCGCGCCGTCACCGATGCCAATTTGGCAACGCCGACGAGCCCGCTCACTTCGTGTCGACCGCGCTCGCGAAGTGTCAGGTGTCCCCGAGGCAGTACATCGGCGACGTAGTGTTCGCGATGAGCACGGGCACGGGCGATGATCTCGTGATGACGTCCCTCGAAACTGCCGTCCACGACTATTATCTGCAACCGACGATTGCTGCACTCGACCCCGACAGGGGAAAATCAGACGGCGGTCAACGAGTCGAGGTCACGGGATACAACTTCGTCAACTCCGAGTCCCTCGCGTGCAGCTTCGGCACGATCCGTCCGATTTACGGGACGTACGAGACCGACACGCTCATGTCATGCGTCGCCCCCGCGAGAACGCCTGGGTACCAAAAGGACGGCACGTTCCCAGAGAACACGTTTGAAATCACCGGGAACGGCGTCGATTACACATCACAGAAACTCATCTTCACCTACGAACCTTCGGACGAGGAACTGAAGGGAAGCAAGACGCTTAGCGTGTTCGAAGAGATGTGCTTACTTCCTGGACCGATGTGCATACACGATATCTCACCCATGCACGGCCCCGTCACCGGCGCCACGGTTCTGCGCGTCGTTGGCGGGAACTTCGACTTCGAGAAGACGAGCTGCAAGTTCCAATCCACGCAAGCGCCCGCGTACAAGAAGGACAACTTCACGATGTTATGCATATCCCCGGTGAACAAGGCTGGTTTCGTCGCTCTGAACTTCATCGTCGGCCTAGAGATCAAGACGTTCGGGAATCAGTTCATGTTTCACTCGAGGATTTTCGTGACTTTGGTCGAACCCCCGATCGTGGCCACGCGCGGCGGTGACATCATTCTTGTCAACGGCATTAACTTCATGCGCGCGGCAGAAATCGGAGAGATGCCGAACGAGGCGAACACTTTCTGTTCGATAGGGATATCGAAGTGGGAACCCGGGCATTTCATCAGTAGCACACTCGTGCAGTGCGTGACGCAAGAGTACGAGTCGAGATACGCGAACGTGGAGGTTTCCATAAACAACCAGGACCTCTCGAACTCGAAGGTATCCATTCGCGTCCGAGAGGCGCCTTTCCTTACCGGTATCATGCCGTTCGCCGCGCCCGCGGTCGGCGGCGCGATGGTGACCGCGTTCGGTGACACGTTCGACGAAGGCATCAACTTCGGCCTCCGGATTGGCACCATCGGCCCGGTCCGGACGCGCATGATCAGCGAGAGCGAAGTGATGACCGTCATGCCGAGTCATTCCCCGCGTCTCGTGGAGGTGTACGTGTCGCACAACATCCGCGATATCGAAGGCGAACCCTTCATGTTCCGTTACCGACCTCCCGCGGAGATCGACGCGATTACTCCCGAGTACGGATCCGTCGGCGGCGGCGCGCGCGTCACCATCACGGGCGCGTACTTTGACCAGGGCGACGACCGCCCGTTCTGCCGATTCGGTTCCGAGCTCGTCCTCGCGGACGGACAAACCGGACCAAACGTCGTCGTGTGCAACACCCCTCCGATGCCGCCGGGTTTCGTGCGCATCGGCGTAGCGGACGGGTTCGAGGTTGGCATCCCGGGAGGTCGCGATTATCACGACGGCGCGTGGTTCCTGTACCAAGAACCCGCGAGGACGTTCGTGGCGACCCCGCCCGCGGGCGCGCCGGGCGGCGGCGCGTTAGTACGCGTCATCGGCGCGGAGATGATTTCGTTCGAGCGAAACGCGGTGCTCTGCCACTTCGGCGCGACGAAGCCCTCGTCCGCGGAGCTCCTGTCGTCCGTCTTGGCGATCTGCGAGTCCCCGAGTCACGGCGAGGGCGCCGTCGCGCTCGAACTCAGCGCGAGTCAATTCGCTCCGAGCGCGCGGTACGCGGTGTTCGAGTACATCTCCGTCCCGACGCCCGTGGCGGTCGATCCCCCCGCGGGACCGGCGGCGGGGGGCACGCGGACAACGCTCGTGCTCTCTGGAGCGGAAACTTGGGGCGCAGGGGCTTCGCCAGCGGGCGTCGCCGCGTCCTTTGGCACGGTGTACCCGGTCGCCGTCCGCGCGCGCGGCGGACACGGCGGGTACGGCTTCGAGTTTATCACCCCGGCGCGAACCCCGGGCGTCGTCTCCGTCGGCGCGACCACGGACGCGTCGTCGTCCGCGCCCGCGGGGGATACGCTGCGGTTCAACGCGCACGGCGCGCCGCCGGTCATCCTCGCGACGACTCCCGAGTCGACGCTGAGCACCGGAGGCGTGGAGGTGGAAGTCACCCTCGCGAGAGGAGGCGGGCAGAGCGACGAGCAGTTCCCAAACTTTTGCCACTTCGGCCTCGAGGCGTCGCCCGCGACGTTCGTGTCGACGTGGGAGGTGTGCGTGTCCGACGCGAGCGCATCGTACTTCCCAGCGCTGAACACGAGCTTACCGGACGGCATCGGCGACGCGCCGAGCGCGCCGAGCGTTCTCACGAACGCGGACCTGTACGGCTTGGACATCGACGCGATGCTGCAAAGTTCCGGCGCCTCCGTCGGCGACGCGAACTGGGCGCCTTCACGATATCCCACGTTCAACCGCTTAGGCACGTGCTTGGGGTTCACGACCGTGCGTTGTGCCGCCCCCGCTCACGCGTCTGGGTTCGTGCAAGTGACCGTGGACGCGTCGAACGCGCCTCCTCCGGGTGTCGGCGGGCGTTCATTCGAGTTTGCAACCGCGCCGGATTTGCACGCGGTGACGCCTTCGGAAGGCAAGCACACCGGCGGGACGGTCGTGCGGTTCATCGGCGATCACCTGCACTCCGCGAGCGCGTGCAAGGTCGGCGCACTCCCGACGGACGCGATCCATCACTTCTCGTCCACGTTAATCGCCTGCGAGACGCCGTACGTCGAGTCCCCCGGAAGAGTCGGCATCGGCGTCGGCGCCGCGGACGACGTCCCTCCCGCGGACGGTTCGCTCACGACGTTCACGTACACGGAATCCGTGAGCGTGCACGCGGTCGCGCCGCGCGATGGAACCTCATCCGGCGGCGCCTCCGTCGTCGTCACCGTGAGCCCGACCCCGCGCGGGATGTCCATCGCCGCGGCGGCGTCGTGCTACGTCGGAACGATTCGCGTCGCGGCGAGGCACTCGCTCGCCGGGTTTGAATGCGTCACCCCCGCGCGGGACGTGGACGTCGAGCTCACCGTCCCGGTGTTCGTATCGATCAACGGCGCGCTGTCGGACCAGACCCTGGAACATACCGACGTGTGGTTCTCGAACCTGCCCGAGCCTGCGATCATCAGCACGATGGACTCGCACTTCGTCGCCTCCGGCGGCGCCGAGGTTCTCGCCGTCGCGTCGTTTCACCCGGCGGCGGAAACCGCGGAGGCTGGCTTGGCGTGCGTGTTCGGGAACGAGATCGTCCCCGCGAGCGTCGTCAGCGACGACGTCTCCGGGATGCACAAAGTGTTGCGGTGCGTCTCTCCGACGTTACCGACGGGCGTGCTCCCGGTGTGGATCACGCTGAAACCGTCGCTCGTCCTCGGCGCGGCGGCGATCGCGCCGCGGACGACGTTCCCCGGGGTGCAGATCATCGTCGTTCCCCCGCCGGTGATGCTCACGGTGCAGCCGATCTACGTCAGCAGCGACGGCGGCGACGTCGCGCACGTCGTCGGCGAGCACTTCGACGCGATGACCGACGGGAGAGAAGTCACGTACCAGATTGGTCCCGCGCCGCCGGTGCCCGTCCGAGTCGTGTCGTCGACGCTCGCATCCGTCGAGGTTCCGAGCAACCCGTCCGGGTCGTTCAGGATCGCCCCGCGCGTGTCCGGGGACCTCTCGGAATCCAGCGTCGACCAGGCTGTCGTCGTGGAGTACGTCACCGGTTCGACCGTCAACGGCGTCACGCCGCAAGACAGCGCGGAGGACGGCGGTGCGCTCGTCGTCGTGCACGCGGAATCTTCTGGCGTCGGAAGCGGCGCGTCGTCGTGCTTCTTCGGCGCCATCGCCGTCCCCGCGCGACGAAGCCCCGACGGCGAGTTCGCGGTCGAGTGCGTGTCCCCGTCCCACGCGGCCGGGTTCGTGCCCTTGACCGCGTCCCCGAACGGCGTGCGCGCGACCGGGTCCGCGACGTTCCACTACCGCCCCAGCGTCGCCGGGATCATGCTCGATCCCCCGGCGCTGCCGTCCGTCGGCGGGACGCGCGTCATCGTCGAGACGAGAGGCGAGGTTCCATCTTTCGGCGAGATGTCCTGCCGCTTCGGCTTGAACATCGTCCCCGCGACCGTGGTGTCGTCCGTGTCGTCGCAGTTCTGCAACGACGTCCGACCAGGCGTCGTGAGCTCCGTCGCGCGCGGCGCCGCGTTCCACGTCTTGAACGCGTACTGCCACGGGTGGTCGACGCTCGTGTGCGAAGCCCCCGCGGCGGCGGCCGGGTTCGTCTCCGTCGAGGTTGGCGTCCGCGGCGGCGAGTACATCTCCTACGGTCTCACCGTGGAGTACCGCGCGACGCCGACGGTGTACGCGCTGCAGCCGTTCAGTGGTCCAGCCGCGGGCGTCGGCGTCGTGAAACTCCTCGGCGCGCACCTCATCGGCGACGGCGCGTTGTGCAGCTTTGGCGCGTCGAAACCGGCGCGCGCGAACCTCGTGTCCTCCGCGCTCGCGAGGTGCGAGCCGCCGACGCACCCGTCCGAGCTCGTTTCCGTGGAGTTAAGCACCGCGGACGACGGGCAGACGTTCACGAAGAGCGGGATGGTGTACGAGTACACGGACGAGGTCGACGTGTGGGGCATCGACCCGCGCGAAGGTCCGCTCGAGGGCGGCACGACCGTGAAGTTGTTCGTGCACAGCTCGCCGATTTACCAGCCGCGGTCGAACACGCAACCGTGCCGGTTCGGCACGATCGCGGTCGGCGGTCGCGCGGACGCGCTCGGGACCGAGTGCGTCACGCCGACGTCGAACGCGGCCGGGTGGAACCCCGCGCGGACGTACGCCGGCGGCACCGTCGGCGTGAGCACGTCTCTGAACGACGGCGAAGTCTGGAGCACGTCCGACGTCGCGTTTTCGTACGGGTACACCTCCGTGAAGATCCACGCAGTGCTCCCGGAGACCGGGTCCGTGCGCGGCGGTACGATCGTCCGCGTCATCGCGCAAGGGCTGCACGCCGAGCGCGGCGTGAAGTGCCGGTTCGGGATGGAAATTTCGGAAGGCGTCTTCGTCGGCGCCACGAGCTCGTGCTTCGACCCGCCGCGAAACCTCACGGACGTCAGCGGCGGAAACCCGCTGCGCGAATTCTACGGCGTCGACGGCGTCGAGTGCATGGGATGGCGCGAGCGGTTCCAAACCGTGCGATGCACCGCGCCGCCTTATCACGCCGGTTTCTACACCGTCGAACTCAGCGACATGCCCGGCCCGGTGCAGCACGGCGTCTTCAGCGACAGCCGGCTACACTTTGCGTACCAAGAGCACGCGAGCGTGTACGCGTTTTCGCCGCCGCACGCGCGAACGGACGGGTCCTCGCTCGTGCGCGTCTTCGGCGAGCACCTCATCGGGGACTCCACGCTGTGCGGATTCGGCAGCTCGGAGACGACGACGGCGACGTTCGTGACGTCGACGATGATCATCTGCCAAACTCCCGCGCACGAAGCGGGCGGCGTCGTCACGGAAGTCAGCGTCAGCGACAACGGGCAGACGTTCACGAGCAGCGGACGCGTGTTTGAATTCGTGGAGACGATCGCCGTCCGCGGCGTCGACCCCGCGGACGGCCCGAAACAGGGCGGCACGATCGTGAACGTGCAGACGGAGTCGTTAGATGGGAGAAACACGCTCGGATGCAAATTCGGCTCGATCGCGCCGGTGTCCGCGCGGAAGTCCTCGCAAGAGAACGTCCTGCAGTGCATGAGCCCGTCGCGCGACGTGGGCTTCGCGAACCTCGAAATCACGGACAACGGCGTCGAGTACACGGACTCGTTCACGCGGTTCCAGTACTGGCCGACCGCGGACGTCCTCGCGGTGGAGCCGTCCGCGGGTCCGATCACCGGCGGCACGGTCGTCACGATCACCGGTCACGGCGTCATGGACGCGGTGCAGTGCCGCTTCGGCACCGAGGTTGTCGACGGCGCGTTTGTCGCCGCGGCGAACGACCTCCGCGGGACGTCTCGCGTGACGTGCGCGACGCCGCCGGCGGTGGCGGGTCACACGACCGTGGAGATTAACAACGTGTACGGCGGGTTCAGCAACAGCAAGGTCGATTTCGAGTACCAAGCGATCGCGACCGTTTACGGTTTCGCCCCGAGCCTCGGACGGACGGACGGTTCTTCCGTCGTCCGCGTCTACGGCGAGCACCTCGTCGGGGGCGATCAACTCTGCGGCTTCGGCGACGCGGATCCCGTCACGGCGGTCATCGTGTCGTCGACGATCATCATCTGCGAGACCCCCGCGCATCCCGCCGGTGGCGTCATCACGGAAGTGAGCGTGAGCGACCGAGGGCAGCACTTCACGACGAGCGGAAGAGTGTTTGAATACGCGGAGATGCCGTCCTTGCGCGGCGCCGAGCCCGCAGAGGGTCCGAGTTCCGGCGGCAGCGTCGTGAACGTTCACGTCACGGATTCCCTCGACGGTTTGCGTATGCTAGGATGCAAGTTCGGCACCGTCGCGCCTGTCATGGCTCGCAAGTTGGGCGATACTATCATGCAGTGCATGAGCCCGTCGAAAGAGAACGGCTTGGCGCAGCTCGAAATCACGGACAACGGCGTGGAGTACACCGACTCTGGCGCGAAGTTCCAATACTGGCCCGCCGCGGGCGTGCTCTCCGTCGAGCCGACCGCGGGCCCGATCAGCGGCGGCACGATGGTCACGATCACCGGTCACGGCGTCCAGGATGAGGTCCAGTGCCGCTTTGGCACAGAAGTCGTCGAAGCGACGCGCGTCGAAGACCTCGGCGACGTCCTCATGGACGGCATGCTCTGGCCTGCGCCCAGGCAGGCGCACACCGCGATGGACGCCGACGCGGAAATCGGCACGCTGCTGGATTACACCCCACGTCGCGCGCAGCCGCAGTGGCACAACACCGCGCGCGTCGTGTGCACAGCGCCGCCGTTGACGCCCGGCCACACGACCGTAGAGATCAGCAACAAGAACGGCGGCTTCCACCGCACGTTGAAAGCGTTCGACTTTGAGTACCACGTCCACGCCGACGTGCGCGCGCTCTCGCCGACGGCGGCGCCGACGCGCGGCGGCTCGCTCGTTCGCGTCTACGGCGAGCATCTCGCGGGCGCGGGCCCAGTGTGCGGCGTCGGCGACGCGGCACCGGTGACCGCGTACGCGGTGTCCTCCGCGATTCTCGTGTGCGAGACCCCCGGGCATCCCGTGGGCGTCGTCGTCGCGGAGGTGAGCGTCAGCGACGAAGGCCGGGTGTTCACGTCGAGCGGCGTGCTCTTCGAGTTTGAACACGCGCCCGCGGTGAGAGCGGTCGAACCCGCGGCGGGGCCGCTCGAGGGCGGGACCGTCGTGACCGTGCACGTCGACCTCGTCAACCACAAGCTCATGGGATGCAAGTTCGGCTCTATCGCCCCCGTGCACGCGAGGGAGGTGGACAACGTCATGCAATGCGTCAGCCCGACGCACGCCGCGGGCGCGGCGCAGTTTGAGCTCACCGGGAACATGCTCGACTACACGAACACGGAGAGCGTTTTCCAGTTCATGGACAAGTCCGCGGTGTTGGACGTGTACCCGACGTCCGGTCCGATGCAAGGCGGGACGGAGATCATCGCGATGGTTGAGTCCCATGGATCGAACCTTCCCGCGTGCACGTTCGGCGGCGCGATGGTGCAAGGCACGGTGATCGAAAATTTCGAGATTTGCTACTCGCGACGCATCTCGGATAACATCCTGCACTTCCCAGGCGATTTGGACGCGGCGTCGCTCGACATGCTCGCGTCCTCGTCCAAATACACCGCGGACAACGCGGTAGACTACAAGTGTTTGGGGTACGCGACGATCCGATGCATCTCCCCCCCGTCGACCGCCGGGACCGTCTCGTTCAACTACGGAAACGATCTCGTCAACGGCGGCGGCCGTCGCGGCGGCCACGCGAATCTCAACGCCCCGGCCGTGGACGTGAGCTTCTCGTTCGAAGTCGCCGCGGAGGTGCACATGATCTTCCCATCGTCCGGTCCCTCCGACGGCTCGACGATCGTCGCGCTCACGGGCGAGCACATGCTCGGCGCGCACGAGCCTCTGTGCAAATTCGGCGGGGACCCGCCGACGGAGGCCAACTTCGTCTCGTCGTCGCTCGTGAAGTGCGAAGCGTCTTCGCACGACGAAGGCGCCGCGGTCGTGGAGGTGAGCGTCAACGACCACGGGCAGTCGTTCACCTCGAGCGGCGTCGTGTTCGAGTACGAGGCCGAGCCGCGAATCTACGCACTCAGCCAAATCGAAGGCGTGCACACGGGCGGGACGCCGGTGCTTCTCACCGTGGATTCGGTCGAGTACGCGCGCGCGGTTTCGTGCAGATTCGGCACGATCGGTCCGATTTTCGCGAAGGCGCTGTCGCCGAGCAAGATCGAGTGCATGACGCCCTCGCACGTCCCCGCGCCCGTCCAAGTCGGGATCTCCACAAACTCGCAATCGTTCGCTGGCGACGGCGTGAGCTTCGTATACCGCCAAACTGTGGACGCGCACGCGGTGTACCCCGAGTCTTCGCTCGTCGTCGGCGGCGCGTACGTCACGATTTACGGGCAAGGTTTCAACGCGAACATGGAGTGCCGGTTCGGGGACGAAACGACGCCCGCATCGGGCGTCATGGCCGTCGACGGCATCACGGAAACGTGCGTGAACAAAGCGCAAGCGATCGTGCCGAACGGCATCGACCACGTCGTCACGAAGTACCTTCACGTGTGCGTAGGGTGGTCCGCGGTCGCGTGCGAGACGCCGAGGTTCGCCGCAGGTTGGACGTCGTTGGAGTTGCGAATGGGCGACGGCGAGATCTTCACCGAGGCGCTGACGTTCCACTTCGAGTCCCGACCGGAAGTTGACCTCCTGTCGCCGTCCTCTGGTCCCGCGTCCGGGAGCACGGTCGTGTACCTGTCCGGACGGCACATGGTTGGCGCGATTTCGCCGCTGTGCCGCTTCGGCGCGGCGCCGCCTTCCAGCGCCGGTTTCGTCTCCTCCGCGCTCGCGAAGTGCGAATCCGTCGACCACGACGAAGGCTTGGTCGAAGTCGAGACGAGCGCGAACGAGCACGATCATCACTTCAGCGTCAGCGGCGCGTCGTTCGAGTTCACGACGACGCCGAGGCTTCTCGCGCTTTTAACGCGGACGGCCGGCGGCGAACGCGGCGGGACGCTTCTCCGCGTCTCGTTGACGAACACGGACGAACCGAGCGCGTTGGACTGCAGGGTCGGGACGTTTTCCCCGGTGGCGTCGCGCGAGGTTTCCACGCAGGCGATCGAGTGCACGACGCCCGCGCACGCGCCCGGTCCCGTCGCGATCGAAGTCAGCGGGAACATCGTGGATTTCACGTCGGACGAGCTCGCGTTTACGTACGAGAGGACGATATCCGTGATGTCGGTGCACCCGGCTGCGTCCGCGACGAGCGGCGGCGCGGAGGTTCTCGTGCGAGGCACCGCGTTCGTGCCGTCGATGGAGTGCAGGTTCGACGACGTCGTCGTTCCCGCGGTGATCGTCGGTGCTTTAGACGGCGGAGAGATATGCCGTCTGAAGACGTGCATCGGGTGGCAGACGGCTTCGTGCTTCACCCCGCCCGTCGCCGTCGGTGGCTACAAATCGTTCCAAATTTCCTCCGGCGACGGCGAAAACATCGAGAACGACGTCGACTTCGTCTTCGAGGTCGAGCCCAGAATCACGAGCGCGAACCCTCCGTTCGGTACCGTGTCAGGGAGCACGGTCGTCACCCTGGGGGGGATCCACATCACGGACCGCAACGCGCCGCTGTGCAGGTTTGGAAACACGCCGCCGTTCGCGCTCGATTTCGTGTCTTCCGCGATGATCAAATGCGAAGCCCCCGCGCACGAGGAGGGCATGGTCGACGTCGAAGTCAGCGTCAGCGACGGTGGGCAGTCCTACTCCAAGTCGCTGATATCGTTCGGGTACGTCGCGCACCCGTACGTCCTGGGCGTCGAACCCGCCGAGGGAGTCGAGAGCGGCGGCTCGCTCGTCCGGGTCATGGGCGCCGCGTTCGCCAACGACGGCGTGACGCGCGTCGGGACGACGATGATCGCAACGCGTTGGCTCTCCGACGAGCTCGGGGAGATCTTAACCCCCGCGCAGAAGATCGGACACGCCCGCGTTCCGGTCGAGGTCAACCCCATGACCGGTGGCTCGAACTCGTGGACGTCGAACGGCGTCGCGTACACGTACACGATCCCGACGACGCTCGCGGGCGCGGACTGGGACGTGAGCTCCGTCGCCGGCGGCGGCGTCGTGACGCTGTACGGCGCCGGCCTCTTCCGCGAGGGCGGCGACCGGCTACAGTGCCGGTTCGGTGACAGGCACGTGGACGCGTTCCCGCCGCCGCGCCTGCCGAAAGGCCATCCCGGCGTCCTCCCCGAAGAAGTGTGCGCGGGGAACAGAAATTACGACTTCCGGAGGTGCTACGGCCTGTCCGCGCTCTCGTGCGCGGTGCCGTCGTTCGCCGCGGGGTTCACGACGGTGGCGGTCGCGCACGAGGCGGAGACGCCGCCGCGCGACGCCCTGACGTTCTCGTTCGACGTTCCCGCGTTCGTGGAGCGCGCGTTCCCGAGCGAAGGCCCGACCGACGGCGGCGCGCTCGTGTTCGTCAACGGCGTGCACTTGCGTCCCGGGGAGGGACGGATCGCGCCGTCGTGCGCGTTTGGCGACGAACCGTCGAGGGGCGGCGCGCCCGCCTTTGTCGTCTCGTCCGCGCTCATGGTGTGCGAGACCCCCGCTCGCGCGCGAGGCCTCGTCGAGGTGGCCGCGTCCGTGTCCGACATGGGCGAGACGTACAGCGACACGAACGTTCGGCACGTGTTCGTCCCTTTCCTGCACGTCACGGACTCGTTCCCGCCGTCCGGCCCGGAGGCGGGCGGGACGTCGATTCTCTTAAACGGCAGAAATTTCGAGGATGGAAAGTTCCTCGCGTGCCGGTTCGGCACGACGTACCCGGTCGCCGCGACGTTCGTCGACGTCGAGCGCATCGAATGCGTCGCGCCCGCGCACACCGCGACCGCGGTGCCCCTAGGCGCCGCGGGCAACGGGAGGGATTACTCCCCCGGCGGCGGCCTGTTTGGTTCGTTCGCGATGTTGAATTATCAGACGAATTTACGCGTCACCGCGGTGACGCCGCGTTCGGGCGTCACCGGCGGGCGAACCCCGGTGTTCGTCACCGGCAGCGGTTTCATCAACGGCACGTCGCTGTCGTGCAAGATGGGGAAAGAGGTCGTGAGAGCCCTCTTCCTGTCGCCGTTCTCGATAATGTGCATCGCACCCGAGCAACCCTCCGGCGCGGGCACGGTGTTCATCGAGGTGTCCAACAACGGCCGCGACTACACGTCGCAGCGCACGTTGTTCCACTTCACGCCGTGTCCCGCGGGGTCGTACTGCCCGGACGGGGAGGTGATCAAGTGCCCGCGCGGGGCGTTCTGCACCGGCGGCAGCGGCGCCGCGAGCAACTTCACGCTCTGCCCCGTCGGCACGTTCCAGCCGCGCACCGGACAGGCGAGCTGCCTCCCGACGCCTATCGGGTTCATCTCGCCGGACATCGGCACGACGGTCCCGAACGTGTGCCCGCGCGGCGCGGTGTGCGACGTCACCGGCCTCGCTGGCGTGAGCAAGATGTGCCCTCCCGGTCACTACTGCCTCGAAGGCACGCGGACGTCGAACTTTACAGATTTTGGCACCCCGGAACGGCCGCTTCCGTGTCCGTTCGGGACGTATTGCGGCCCCGGGGTCACGACGAATCGAACGATCGCGAACAACTTCACGACGCCGCAGACGTGCTTCGCGGGGTTCATGTGCGAGCCCGGGAGCGCGACACCTCAAGGTTCTGGGCCGTGCCCGTCCGGACACTACTGTCCCCCGGGTCAGCTCGAACCGTGCCCGTCGCGGACATACTGCCCGGGCGTCGCGAACACGGAACCGAAGCCGTGCGTCCCCGGTCTGTACCAGCAAGAGTACGGGCAGTCGGAGTGTAAAAAGTGTCCGCTCGGGACGATTTGCCCGGGGTTCGCGCGCGAGCTCCCGGAGGCGTGCCCTCCCGGGTTCGTGTGCGATCAGGAAGGTTTGCCTATCCCCGCGACGCGTTGTCCGTCCGGGCATTTCTGTCTGTCGAACACGCTCACGCCGGATCCGCTCAGCGCGCTCGACTTCGACAAGCTTCTGCGGTCATCGCCTATTTTGCTCGATCCGAACAACTTCCGGCCGCTGCCGTGTCTCCCCGCGACGTTTTGCATGGAGGGCGCGATGACGAACATCACCCTCGAGGGCGTGTTCACGCAACCGCAGCCGTGCAAGGAAGGTTCGTACTGCGAGTGGGCGACGGGCGACAAGACGTTCGCTGTCGAAGGCGACGTTTCGAGCCCGATGTACCGGTGCCCGCCGGGTAACTACTGCCCCAAGGGAACCTACATTCCGATTCCGGCGCCGCGCGGGTCTTTCGCCCCCGGCGAAGGCAACTCGCAAGCGTCGCAGTGCTTACCCGGGACGTACACGCACTACGAAGGTTTCGAAGCGTGTTTGGCGTGCCCCGCGGGATACGAGTGCTCCATGGACGGCACGTACAAGCCGCAGGTGTGTCCGTCCGGCACGGTGCGTTCCTTGCGCGACTCGATCACGTGCAAGAATTGTCCGAAAGGCACGTGGAACCCGTTCCGAGGGCTCACGGACGAGTCGCTGTGCATCCCGTGCAACCCCGGGTACGTGTGCTCTGCGGAGGGCACGGAGAACAACAAGCCGTTCGGCGACAACGTCGAGCAGGTGCCGAACGAGTTCATTTTGCCTTGCGAAGCCGGGCTGGACTCGTGCATCACGATTGAGCTGCAGCCGCTCGGCGGCGCGTCGCTGTGCCCCGAGGGGTACGTCTGCGACGCGCGCACGGAGGTTGCGTTCGTGAAGTGTCCGGACGGATACTTCTGCGGCTACGGAACCTCGCCGGAGACGCAGTTTGTGAACAAGTGTCCGATGGGTTACTTCTGTCCCGAAGGCACCGCAGCGTCCGGGAGGTATCAGTTCCCTTGCGCCGCGTGTCACTACTGCCCCGCAGGGACCGGCATCATCATGCCGCGTTGCCCTGAAGGGACGAAATCTGAGCCGAACGCGGAGAACATCGACCAGTGTTTCGCGGACAGGATCACGTTCTGGCGCATCCAGCCGCTCAAACAATGGCTCATCGACGAAGCGTACGCGATTCTTCTGCAGAACAGCACGCTGACGACGACGACGGATGCGAGAAGGCGTTTGCTCGAGATTGGCCCGGGCGAAGAGGCGAGCCGCATCGGTGGAATTTACCAACCCGGAAAGTACGGCCAGTACGTCTCTCAAGAGGCTCTCGAGAAGCTCGGGGAGCACATATCGACGTTTCCAACGCTTCCCGGCCGCGTGAACGAGATGAACCGAAGGCGGTTGCTTCAGACGGACGGAACGACCACGACGGACGGAACGACCACGACGGATGGAACGGGCGCGGGGACGAACACGACGGGGGTCACCACGGACGGCGATGGCGGTTTAACCATCGGAAACAGCACGTTCGACGACGCCTACTTTGGCGAGTGCAAGGGCGAAAACTTCGCTCTTCTCGAGCCGACGTTCATCATGGACGAAGAGACTGGGCTTCCCGCGGTGGACATCGAAGGTACGCCGATGGTGAAGTTCACGCTTCCCAGAGGGCACATCGCGAAAGTGAAGCTCGATTTCCGTTTTATCGATGATTTCATCCGCCACGGTGCGCAATACGAAGTCGCGTTATTCGTGGACGACTACGTCAACGACATGATGTGCCCCGTAGACGAGTTTGAACGCGTGCCGTGCCCGCCATGGGACACGGGCGATGGAATCAACCTCAAGACCATGGGTCCTATCGAGGGTGCGGAGTTCGAGGAGAAGTGTCCGAAGGGCACGAACGGCTTGGAGCTGCCCTTCTGGTTCGTCGGCAACGGAGTACAGGGCGCGACGACGTATAACGTCCTCGATCCCGAGATGGGGACGTTCGTGTGGAAGAGAGGCCTGCACGAAATTAACATCGGTGGTCTCGACGAGGTCACGTTCCGTTTCGAGGTAAGGATGCTTCACGGTTTGTACCAAAACGCGACTCGTCGTGGATTCTTGGATTCGATGTGCATCGACACGACGTACCCGAAACGCGGCAGCGGCGAAGAGAAAGCGTCGTTCCACATCATCTTGGAGAACAACGACGAACTTCAGGTCCCGCTTAACATTCCGTTCCGCGAGCCGTATCAACGGTCTATCGAGTTAGACTATTTCATGTGCACGGAAACTCAGATGGATCCGTCGTGTCGGTACGTCTACCCATCCGTCACGCTGGATTACAACAGTACGCTTGCGTCAGAATGGAAGATGTACACGAAACTGATAGAGCTCGCGGAGATCGAAGCGTCCGGCGCAGAGATCGTGAGCATCGACACCGCGGACGTCGAGATGACGGATGACGTCATCATCGAAGAGAGCGGAGAGATGCACGTTCCAGACGTCCTCGAAAAATCGGAGTTCATCTTCGTCGAGGACTACTGGGTCGACGACCGTCCGTTGCTCGCGGTGGATTACCTTCCGTTCTTCTCCGGTTGCCGCGGCTTCGACTCGCACATTTATTTCTACTACCTCACCGAGACCGTGTGGACTGAAATTGAGGACTTCGTAAACTACGGTAAGTGCGATCTCGTGGAACCAGAAAAGACCATCTTCATCGATCCGTGGGCGCCGCAAGTCCAAGTAGCGATCGCGGATGCGTGCGAGGTGGAAATTCAGTGCTTCTACGAGGAAAATTTCCGCGAGGCGGCGGCGAACACGCGTTGGTTCGAGGTCGAGGGTGAAATTCTCTTCCACGTCACCCAAGAAGCGGAGGGACCGGAAAAGCTTTTCGAGGCGTCCATTCTCGCGAATGATCAGTCCGAACCCCAGGTGAACCTCGGCGCGTACACGTCTTCAGTCGCGACGCAAGAGTCGATTCCCGTGTCGTTCGGCCCAGAAGAGGGCATCGAAGTCGCGAAAGGCGTCATCCCCACGGAGATTGCGATCGATATCAGCTATTATCAGACGTCTCCGACCGACAAGCGAATGATTCAAATCGAGGGCACGTACTCGGAGTACGTCAACGCGAAGAAACACGACGGGACGTACCTCCTCACGATCACGACGTCGGCACTGGGATGGTTCGATCTCTTGAACTTCTTCGCGTTTCCAGAGATTTTCTACATCGCCCTGTTCCTCGCCCTCGGTATGATTTCCGTGGCAATCATCGCCGCGTTCTGGGCAGTCAATCGTATATTCACCACGCTGAAGGACCCGCCGCGGTTCAAGTTCACGCCGTACCTCAAAATCATGACGCAAGGACCGGTGCAAGGCATCTTCCTCTCTATGCTTCCGTTTTTCCTCGCGCAAGTCGGCGTGCGTCAGGTGATGACCTCCATCACGTTCTTCACGCAGTTCCCCATAAACATCGACGACTTCGGTCGCGAGATTGATTCCGATGTCGTGAAAATGGCGACGGACGGGAGAATTGCGCTCGCGTTCTTAACGATCGCGTGCTACATGATGTCGTGCACATCGCAGATTCTGGTCCCGTCCGTGGATGACTCGGACGAGGACGACATGGACCAGAAGAACAAGGCGATGGTGAAGCCCGAGCAGTGGAAACGAAGCCACTTCATTATCGCAAACATCCTCATCAACATTACGAACCTTGCGCTCATGGAATTTTCGTACACGGACACGTACGGGATTTTCTTCTTCACCGTGTTCCTTCTCATGAAGGTTTTCCATCTCCTCCTCGAGATGAACGCGGAGGCGTTCTTAGGCGACGTGATGCTCGTCACGCCGATCAGCGTAGGTCTTGCGATGACCAGTGGCTTGGTCACGATCGCAGCTGATGACTTCACGGATTTCACGATGGGTTACTACCTCGAGCTGATCATATCGTCGCTTGAATTCGTGTACCTCGACGCGTTCTTGGCGAAAGTAACGAAGATCGTGCCGATGTTGCGGACGAATCTTTTCCGCAGACTGCGCCGAAGGAACAACACGGCGAAAATCACCCCGGATGCGAGCGTTCAGGATGACAGCGTCGTTGAGGATCTCATGGGATATCTCACCGCGTATGGTACATCCACGGCGTCGACGTACATGTCACCGTTCTTCATCTACTTTTACTGGGATTACAACGACCAGCTGCAGCTCTCGTTCTTGTTTGGATTCCGTAAAAAGGATTTACTTATTTACTTGCTCTTCGGCCTCGTGATCCTTCCTTTCCAGGTCGTCATGGACATCTTCTTTTTCAACATCCAAGAGCTGTTCCACGGCTGGAAAGTTTACGAGTACATGAAGTACGCGCGATACCGGTACCTGAACAGGACGGCGCGTTGGAAGGGTCTTGAAAGGTCTTATGACGAATCCATCGATTACACCTTGCGCACGGTCGATCAGCTGTGCTTCAGCAGCCAATTCTACTTCGTGCTCGGTCTCGGCGGTGCCGGCTCTTTCTTATTCGTCCTATCCCTGTCCATGATGCTTCGCGCGCAATACAACATGTTCGAGGACATCTTGTTCGGTCTCGTCGTCGGCACTTTCCTCACGTTGAGTGTCATCACGAAGAAAATCGCGATGTTCATCGCGGATATCATCGGCCTCTGGAAGATTTCGAAGGCGCAGATGGACGACGGCATGGTCGCGGAGGAGGACCTTCCCGACGATTACATCGGCGGACTCGATCGCGCGGACACAGAAAGGGATGGCACGGACGCGGCGAGCTCCAGAGGCGAATTCAGCATGGCTGATCTCACCACGGACGCGTTCCGACGAAAGTTCCTCGATCACAACCGTCTGTGGTTGCTGGACCAGCTCGCGGAGCTGCTCACGCCGCGCACGGCGAAGAAGTTCCGCAAGCTCGGTGGAAAGCTCCGCGGCAGCCTCGACGACGGCGAGGACAGCGACGAAGGCGAGGAGAGGTTCGAAGGCGAAGTCATCCTCGCGGACTCGTCTCGGTCGATCATGCTCATGTGGCGTCACGAAGCTTCCAAGCGCACGGAGGGCGCGTTCGCGAAACGCGCGCTCGGGCTCTCGGACACGTCGGACAGCGACGCCGACCGCGCGCCGAAGTGGCCGCCGGCGAAACTCAGCCCGGAGGCCATCGCGCTCATGAAAGGCTGGCTCGCGGCGACGAAAGCTGTGCGCGCACAAAGAGAGAATAAACAGGCGCAGATGTTATCCGACACCGAAGACGAGGAAGCGAACCGCAGGGCGTGGGGCACGCCGAGGCTCTCGCCGACCGCGGAGGCGCTTCTGAGAGACTGGCTCGAGCGCGCGCGGTCCCGCGTGGGACGAATGAAAGGGTCGGACGACAGCAGCAGCGATGGCGACTTTGGTCCGGTGCGGATCACGCCGCAGTCCTCGCTGATTTTACGGCAGTGGCTCGCCGCCGTTCGCGCGCGCCGAGGGGGCAGAAATCCGCTCGACAGCAGCAGCGACAGCGATGACGCGACGATGCAAAACTTCAACACGAACGTCCCCGCGAGAGTGAACCCTCGGAGCGAGCAAGTCGTGCGGTGGTGGCTCCTCGAGTTAAGACGCAAGATGGCGGAAGAAGGAGGTTCACCAGGCGACGACGACGTGGACGAGGACTCAGACAGCAGCGACCTGAGCGACTCAGGTTCTCCAGGTTGAGCACTTGCCTCTGTCGAAAAAGACTAATAATTACTAGGCCTTGGAAGGTAGGATAGACGTAGAAGTGAGCTGACCCTGCGTGGAACCCGAGGAATGGGTGGAACGCGGAAGAGAGTCAGCTCGTGAATAGGAGAATAGAGTAGAGCTTTCAAGGAATCGTATTTCAGGTCAAACCCGCTGACTCTCTCGTCGATCGTCGAGTCGTCACTCCGTCGTCGTTCTCTTCCTCTCGTCCGTCACGCCGCGGCGGGGCTCCGTGGTTGTTCCGGCTCCATCGCACCCGTCACGTCGTCGCTCGATCCTTTGACTTTCGGGATCCGGAACCATCCCGCGTCGTCGTTCTTCCCCGCCGAAGGCGTCGTGACGTACCCGCTATTTTTCATGAACCAGTTCAGCTCGAAGAATCCGTACCGTTGCGGGCATCGCGACTCCGCGACGGACTCCCCGGTCAAGCGAAGCGTCCCGGCTTCCCCCGGACTCGCGGGAAGCTCGGTTTCGGAAATGCCGTGCCCGCCCGGCTTCGCGGCGGCGAGGTACGTCTTGCCCGCGGCGGTTTGCGCCCACGATATCACGGTGTCGATCGTCGGCGTCGGTATTCCTACGAGCTCGGCGACGCCTCGGAACACGACGAGGCCGTACGGCATGTCCTCGGTCAGGTACCGGTGCTTAAAGTCTGGAACGAGCCTCGGGGCGACGTCGCTCTGGACGCCCTCCTCGACCGGTTTCATCGGGTGGGTCAGGCCCTTATACGCCGGGTTCGTCCGGAGCATCGTCGCCACGGACGTCGTGTCGATCCCGGGCTGGTCCCCGTACGACCGCACGAACCACTCGTGCGCGGTTCGCACCGAGTGCAAGTCGTCGACGAGCTCGTCGCCGAATTCCGCTTTCAGGGCGTCGATCACGGCTTTGACTTCGATCGACATCGCGCTGATCGTGATCCCAGCTTCGTCGCACGCGACCTCGTACAGAAGCGGCGGCTCCGTGAACGTCTCGCGGCCGTCCCAGTTCTTCCACCGGTGGTACATCAGCGCCGGGTGCCACAGGGCGTTGATGTTCATCATCGAGACGCCCAAGAACCCGCTCGCGACGACGAGCAGAGGATTCTCGCCGACGGCGCACTGGAGGACGTCCAGCGCCCTCGCGCCGTGCTCGATCAAATCCCCGGTCGCGTTCGCGGTGACCGGGTGCACGGAGATCGCGACGTCTACCTCGTGCTTCGTGCCGCCGATGTCAACGTCGTGCCCGCCCGTGGGTCTCCGACGCGCGCGGCACGTCCACGGCAACGTCTCGAGCCCGGCGACGACGACCGTCTTGTGCGCTCTCGCCGCCTGCAGCGCGTTTCTCGCCGCGAGGTCGAACCCGCCCTGGGCGACCGCGGCGGCGAGGACGCACGGGGGTCTGTGCGCGTGCGCGTTTGCGCTCTTCTCGATCCACGGCGCCAGCGCGTTGAGATATGCGTCGTGCGCGAACGCGGGGAGCGCGAGGAGCACGAGGTCGTACGCGCACAAGTCTCCTTCGCCTCGGTCCGCGGCGAACGCGCGCTCCACGGTGTCGAACGCGACGGAGTATCCGACCAGCGTGCTCGGGTCTCTCGGCCACCCTCGGACGGTGATCGGCTCGGGGCAGCAGCTTCCGCTCTGGAACGTCGCGGCCTCGCCGGGGTACGTGCTCAAGATCGCCGTCTTCGCGCCGCGAGCGGCGAGCTGCCGCGAGAAAGAGGGAGGGGGCCTCAGAAAACGCCAGACGCGGTGGTGGGGACACCACGACGAGGAGTAGGAGGCCGCGGGAAGGGACGGACCTGACCCGCGAACAGCGTCGCGGCGTTGCCGCCGCCGCATATCAAGACTCTCAGTGAGCTCACTTGCATCGTGCACGTCGCGGATACGTCGCGGGCGCGGGATACGTCGCGAGTGTGGCGCGAGTGTGGCGCGTCCGCGTCGTCGTGGACGACGAGGAGGCCCAGAACCTAGGGGTTTCTTTGGATTTCAAATCCGTTCGTTCAAAATCTGCTTTTTCCTCGACGCGCAGCTCGTCCGGCCGTCACTCAGGAGAGCGCGCGGACGCAACGCACGCGGTCGCATCGCGCAGGGACGACTCGTAGAAGAGCGTTCGTAGGCCGACGTCGCACGATTCAGCGTGCGCGTCGTGGGAAAGCGTCGAAGAGCTGTCGTTCACCTCGCGCGGAGGAATCATTTTTCGTCTCCGCACGCAAAGCTGGCACGCGCATTCGCGGGAAGGCGACGAGGTAGATGAGCGCCGCTGACGTCATCGCGATGACGCAGGAGGCGCCCGTCGCGATGACTGAGGAGATCCCAATGACGGAACCGCTCGTGCAAGTCGTCGACGAAGACGAGGACGAGGACGTCGTCGTCGTCCGTCGCAAGCGCGCGAGGCCGGTCGAAAAGGGCGCCTCAGATCCGGCGAACGACGACGACGTCTCCCCGCGCGGTCCGTTCGACGCGAGCCAGCAAGAAAGCCCGCCGAAGTCGTCCGACGACGAAGGCGCGGACGCGAACGGCATCAAGCTCCCGGGGAAGAAGAAGCTCAAGCTGAGGACGAAAGCGAAAGCGGAGGAAGCGGAGCTCATGGCGGACGACGAAGACGAAGACGCCGAACCCGCGATGGAGGACGACGACGGCGAAGACTTTTACTACGACGAGGACGACGAGGAAGGGATGATGGAGAAGCGCCTCGCGGAGAACGGAACTCTGAGCGACGACGAAGGCGCGGGTGTCAAGGGGGACGTCTCCGAGTCCGACGAGAGCGACTTCAACGACAGCGAAGACGAGTTTGAAGACGCCGCGGAGAAGTTGCGCGAGATGGCGAAAGCGCGCGCCGCCGCCAACGCGTCCGGGCCGCCGCCGGAGAACGAGACCGAGGAAGAGCTCGCGGCGAGGATGGCGCGCGAGAAAGAAGAGACGAAGAAAGTTCAGGAGGAGATCATGAAAGAGGCGGGGAAGCGCGTGCGTCTGACTGGGTATCACGTCGCCCCCGACCGGGACCCCTTCGCGTATCGGAAGATCATCGCGATCATCCGCGAGAAAGTCGCGGCTCTGAACCTGCCGCCGCCGCCGCCGGACCCGGTCGTGAGCGAGTCCGAGGACGACGAGAACGACGGCGAGGAAGTATCCGACGACGACCTCGACGACGACGAAGAAGCCGAGGACGACTCCCAGGCTGGGGACGAACGCGAGGAGGAGAAGGAGAAGGAGGAGGAGGAGATGATGGAGCTCGAGGTGGACGACGACGTCGACGGGTTGACGCTGGACGACGAGAACGTGAAGAACGAACTCCTCGCGATCCTCGCGGAGGTCAAGGCGAACGCCGCGGCGAAGAAGCCCGTGGAGGAGCCGAAGGCAAAGACGGTGGACTTCGACGACGAAGAGACGATCGCCGCGGAGAGAGCGGCGCAGCAGCTCGCGGCGCAGCTGGACGAGGCGAAAGAACTCGGCGGCGGCGACGGCGAGGACGCGGAAGACGACGAGGACTCGGAGGACGACCTCAGCGAAGAAGAAGCGTTCGTGGACATGACTCGCAAGGAACGCCAGCGGCAGCTCAAGAAGGCAAAGGCGTTCTTCAAAGCGGACGCGAAGGCGAACAAAAGACGCGAGGGGGGCGCGTTCGAGGACGAGGCGGAGATGTCCGACGACGGCGGCCACACCGACGACGAAGAGCAGGTCGAGGTCGAGGAGCTCGGCGAGGAGAACGAGCGGGTTATCCGACGCAAGGTGGCGTCTAGGAACGACGGTCTGCTCGATCGCGATGAGCTCGAGGAGATGGTGGATTACATCGACTTCAACGACACCGCGGACGACGACGAACGGCGCGCGGCGAAACGCGCCGCCGCGCACGCTCGGTTCGAAGAAGAGAAGGACGAGGAGGATCTTCGCAAGATGAAAGAGGCGCTCAAGAACGGGTTCCGACGACCGAACCGGAACAACGGGTACGATGCGGACGGCCCGGATTATTGGCAGCGACGACGGAAAGCGAACGGGGAGTCCGAGAGCGACGACGAAGACCTCGGGATCGACGTCCCCGACCGCGCGTGGGAAGCCGTGGAGCTGTCCGACGACGACGACGGCGAATGGGCGGAACGCGCGGAGCGACGCAAGAAGGCTGCCGCCGCCGCGGAGGCGGCGAAGAAGCTCGCCGCGAACGACGACTCGAACGCGAACGCGGGCGACGGGGACTCGCAGCTGCCGTCCGCGCGCGACTTTGCGTCGCAAGACTTCTCCGCGATGCTCGACGCCGGAAGAGCGCGACGGAACAACCGCGTGCGGCGAGGCACGTCCGCCGCGGCCGCGGCGATGGATAACGGCGCCGGGGCGTTCTCTCAGCCCGCGCCGGTCAAGGCACTCGGAAGGGTCAACAGCGCCCCCGGAAGGGTCGCCCCCGCGCCGCTTCTCGAGCGCGGCGGGTCGATGTCGTTCCTCGGCCGCGGAAGCGGGTCGAACCACAGCGCCGGTGGGCTCGCGCGGTCTGTATCCCTCGGGAACGGCGGCGCGTCGCGGTCGTTCGTGTTCGGCGGCGGCGGAGACTCACAGAGCATGTGGGAGAAGGACGCGGAGGAGCAAGGCACGATGGCCGCGCCGGCGAACTTCGCGGAGCTCGGTTCGAACGAGAACGCGAGGTTCGGGTGGGCGCCGCGAGAGGCGATGTCCAAGCACCCCGCGGCGGCCGGGAAATCAAACGGCGCGTCCACCGCGGCGGCGCCGTCCAGGCTCGGCACCGGCGGCGCGTCCACGAAGCCGGGTAAGAGCTTGTTCAGCATGCTGCAAGATTCCCAGGACTGGGACGACGTCTTGGGCAAGAGCGACTCGCTCACCGAGGGGGTCAAGGCGGCGGCGAACATCAAGCTTCGCCCGGCGGCGCCGCGGTGACGACGAGCGACTCCGCGATCGAGGGTGGGGGTGGGTGGGACGTGTCACGACGTTACACGAAACGTGATGTTTGATTTAGTACCTATAGTTTGCTACGACGAAAAAGCTATTGGTCATCCGATCGTCATCGCGCGGCGTCCTCCTGAACCGCGATCGCGCTGACCTCGTCAATCACCCTCTTAATTCTCGATCATCCTCAGTCCCCCATCGATATCGCGACGAGCTCGAGCGTGACGTGAAGCTCCGCGTTCTTCGGTATCAAACCCGGAAACCCTTTCTCACCGTACGCCAGCCGCGCCGGGAACACGCACGTCGCTTTCTCCCCCACGCTCAGCTGCGTGACCGCGGCGTCCCACCCTTTCACGACCTGCCCGCACGCGACCTTGAACCGGAACGGCTGCTTCCGCTTGTACGTGTTGTCCACCTCCTTTCCGCTCGCGAGCTTGATCGTGTAGTGGATCGCGACCGTCTCGCCTGGCTTCGGGTAGTACTTGCCGTCGCCGGCGCGAATGATCTGCACGTCGATGAGCGGAGGAGGCATCGCGTCGCGTGCGACGAGGACGCGCTCGAGTTTGACGGGGGGAAATCCAAACAGGGAAAACGCCGTCGCGTGAAAACAGACGCAAAAAATTTTATCTGTCTCTTTTTTCGGTTCGATCCAGCGCATCTCGCGTACTCGCGGTTGATCGGCTTGACCGATCAGCATTGACCGAGGGTCGGATTTTCACCCGTCTGACGATTCAGTGGCCCTTTCGTCTACGATAAGATTTCTGACAGTTTTACACCTCTCCGCGAGGTCTGCGTGTTCGCGCGGCCATAGCTTCGCGGAATAGCCGTAACAATCTCCGGTACAGTGAGAAGAGTTCTACGTCACATCGCGGGGCATCGATTAAAGCAAAAATATTGTGCCACTTCTCCTAAAGAAAACGACGTCAGCGGCGCTTATATGTCAAGGGTGACTCTGCAAAATCTTACTTGTAGGAGGAGAACTTTTTTCCCACCTTGCCCCGAAAAAGCGATGTTGCAAGTTGTGCCCAACCCTGTTCGAGCGCTGATTACGTCATGATCATCACAGCGAGTGGTTTAGTATTTTTGGGTGGGTCGACGCATCGTGGTGTTTCGAGTAAATTATTTGCGTGCGACGTCGGCGTTCGTGACGCTCCCGCGACTCCAGCAGCGCGCGAACGCCCGCGGGCACCCCTTTCAAACGACTGAAGTTTGAACCCAGGGAGTACGCGGACGTAGTACGATGGCTATAGCATATGGGTATTTGCAGTGGAAATGCGAGATGCGCTGGATCGAACCGAAAAAAGAGACAGATAGTATTTTTTTCGAAAACAGACCCGTCTTCGTGGGCCTCGGACAGGTTAACAGGCTGATTATCGGATCATTGTTCTTTGTAAGTAACCTCCCTTCCGTGCTCGCATGGGCAATCAGTTACAGTACAACTACAGTGTATCAGTCGTACGTGTAGATTAATCCTTAAAGATATTATTATTGTATCAAAACCTACAGGAGTAACACGCACACACACCGAGCCCGCTTCCGAGCACTGACGCCGCGATTCGCCGCGGTTCTCGGGGCAAGAGACCTCCACTCTCCGCCGGGAGAGAGACGAAAAAAAACCAGCTCGACATGCCGCTCACCGGCGAGGCGACGCCGCTGCTGGCGCGCGACTCGAAGGGTGATCGGTCGAACAATCGCCGATCGTGGCGATTCGCGGCGCTGCCGACGTCCGCGGTCGCGATCGTGCTCGCCACGGTGCTTCTGTCGACGACGTCGTCGCCGATCTCGAGCGTGCTCGGTCTTGGCCGCGCGAGCCTCGGGCAGAACGCCACGAACGTCACGATGAGCTCGACGGACAACGTCCGTAGGTTAATCTCGAACTACACCGTCGAGCACGATGCGGTCATCGCGGAGACGCGAAGGGTGAAGGACGCGATCGACGCGCTTCGCGTGAAGCGCGCCGAGATCGTCGGCATGACCGCCGTGGACAACCTTCCGCTCCCCGCGATCGACCTGACCGGTCACGGCGAGACCCCGCTGATCAGTTCTTTTTGGAGTACCCGCCAGACACCCAGCCTCGGTCAAACTGACGGGACGACGACGAACAAGATGACGCAGATCATGACCCTCATCAACGGGTTTGCCTTGCACCACGACAAGATTATCTCGAACACCAGGACGTTGGACGGGAAGCTCCACAAGCTTCGCGGCCAGCGCGACGCGATCATCGGTATGGAAGTCGACGACCCTCCGCTCCCGACGATCAACATGACCGGCATCGTCGCCGCGATCGCAGAACCGATCTCTGAAGCCATGCTCGGTCAACCCGAGAGCCCGGCGGGGACGCAGATCATGAGAATGGTCGCGGAATACGCCAAGAAGCACGAGATGGTGATCGCGGAGACCAAGATGGTGGCGAGGAGGATCGAGGGCCTCCGCTGGAAGCGCGGTCAGGTCATTGCGAGGACCGTCGGTGCCACCGCGATCCCGTCGTGGACTACACCGGCGGCATGAACCACACGCGCGCCGTTGTCGCCTCGGCAACAGCCTGGGGAAAAAATATGGCTTCGCTCGGCCAAGGCGAGGTCGAGTCTACGGATTCGATCAAAAAGCTCATCTCCGAGTACATGGAGGAGCACGACGACGTCATCGCGCACACCAGAAAGGTGTACGAGGACATCGAAATTCTTCGCTCGATGCGCAAGGAGCTCGTGGCCGTGACCGTGGACGACCCCCCGCTCCCAGTGATCGACATGACCGGTCACTACGAGGCGGCCAGCCTCGGCCAAGCGATGAACTGCGACTGCCCGAATTACCCCCCAGGGGTGAACAAGAATTGCGCGTGCCCGGACGAAGGGCATGGCCTCACCGTAATCATGAGCCTCCTGGAAGAGTACACCAAAGCGCACGACGACGTGATCAAGGAGACCGTGGAGCTGTCCCGACAGCTCGACGGGCTCCGGTCTCAGCGCGACAACATCATCAATCAGTCCGTGGACAACCCCCCGCTCCCGACGATCAGGATGGTCGGCAGTAAAGCTGACGACGAGAAAGAGAACGCCATGCTCGGTGAGGAGGAGTTGGAGGAGTTCCGAAATTCTGCGCCGACGACCGAGATCACGCGCCTCATCGCGTCATACACCGAGTTGCACGACAAGGTCATCGCGGAGACCAAGGTGTTGGCGAGTAGGATCGCGGCTCTCCGCTGGAAGCGCGGCCTGATCATTCACGAGACCGTCGGAACGAACCCGGTTCCGGCTATCGACTGGACCGGCGGCAAAGATCAAGTGACCGCCCTCGCCTACGTGAGCGGCACCGTCGACGACTACGCTCCTTCGTATGTTAACTCCGGGGTGGAATTCTTGAACCACTCGATGAACATGGAGTCGTCGCCCGTTGAGCCTGCGGTTATGCCAAGCTCCACGGTGGACTGCGTTGTACCCGATTGGTGCTCGTGGGAGGGGCAAAAGTCAAAACCGGAGTGCACGTGCCCGGACAACTCAGACAACTCGATGCCGGGCTCCACGATGGACTCCATGCCGGGCTCCACGATGGACTCCATGCCGGGCTCCACGATGGACTCCATGCCGGGCTCCACGATGGACTCCATGCCGGGCTCCACGATGGACTCCATCCCGGGCTCCACGATGGACTCCATCCCGGGCTCCACGATGGACTCCATCCCGGGCTCCACGATGGACTCCATCCCGGGCTCCACGATGGACTCCATCCCGGGCTCCACGATGGACTCCATCCCGGGCTCCACGATGGACTGCGTTGTACCCGATTGGTGCTCGACGTACCCCCCGGAGATGGCAAAGGAAAAACCGGAATGCCAGTGCCCGGAGTCCATGCACCCCATGCCGGGCTCCATGATGGACTCCATGCCGGGCTCCACGATGGACTCCATGCCGGGCTCCACGACTGTCGATGAGTTCAACTCGGACAACTCCACAACAGTCGATGAGTTCAACTCGGACAACTCCACAACAGTCGATGAGTTCAACTCGGACAACTCCACAACAGTCGACGAGTTCAACTCGGACAACTCCACAACAGTCGACGAGTTCAACTCGGACAACTCCACAACAGTCGACGAGTTCAACTCGGACAACGCTACTGCGGTGCCCGAGCCCGAGCCCGAGGATTACCACTACGAAAAAATCGCGAATAGAGCTGTGCAAGGGCATGGAGCATCAGGCGCGTGCGATGAAAGACTGTATTACGGAAATGTTTCTGGTGGCATCCAAAGGTGCGAAGAGCAGTGCAATCAGTGCGCCGACTGTAAAGGCTTCGTGGATAACCGAGACGCTTCGCCCGCATACTGCGTTTTCAAAAGTTCGTCGAATGTGTACGAGAAGTCATCGAAGGATTGGTATGGAAAGCAATAAACCGGAATGCCAGTGCCCGGAGTCCATGCACCCCCCCGCGGTATAAACTCTCCGCCGCGCGACCCGCGCGCGTCGACACCGATCGCCCGCCGAGTCCGGTCTTCGATCCCCGCAATGCCGGGAACTTGGACACGCGACTCGTCGCGCTGTGCAGACGCGAACGGCGAGCGCGCGACCTCCGTGGATGCGCACCGGTCCGGCGGAAGGACGACGGTCCCAAACTCCAACATCAACCAACCATGTTGCTGATATCATGAATCAACCCTGTTTTCATGTTTGTTTGATTTTCTTTGCTTGTCTGTACGGTTCATTTGCTTTAATAGTACTGTACGTGTAATCATCATATTATCTATATCTTATACAGTCACCGAGCACAATACGGTGTGGACGCGCGGCAAACGCACTGTACGAGTAGTTTTAGCGCGTTTTTTTAACGATTGACTGTTGTCTCGTTCGCTTCCAACTCTATTATACGCTAGAAGAACACGCCAAGTTACATCTCGAGCTCCTTGCCAACGTACGGCTTCGCGAGACCGCTCTCGTCCTCGTCCTTCGGGTTGTGAATCGTGACGACGTCCGGCACCGGGGTCTTCGGCCCCGTGCGCCCTTTCGGGTCCCAGTCGAGCATGATTTTTACCTTGATCCCGACGCACCCTTGGCGAAGCAAAACGTGACGGACGGAGGATTCGATGTATTCGCGGACGGGGTTACCGGACGAGATCATGTACCCGTCCTTGAACTTCATCGCCTTGCCACGCTGGCCGCGGAGCTTGCCGGAGACGACAACCTCGCAACCCTTCGCGCCGTTCTCCATGATGAACCTCAAGACGCCGTAGCACGCGCGCCTGACCGCGAGCCCGCCGAGGAGCTTGTACCTCAGCGACTCCGCCTGCGCGATCGCGCAGAGGCCGCGGTTCGCAACCTTCTCCGCGTAGAGCTCGACGGAGCCCTCGGCGAAGCCGAAGCGCTTCTGCACGAGAGACGTCAGCTCGCGAATGCGTCGGCCCTTCTCGCCGAGGACGTTTTGCGTGCGCGTCGCGCGAATGATGATCTCCGTACGCATCGGCGTGACGCGGACCTCGACGCCGGAGTAGCCATCCTCCGCGAGCTCGCGCACGAGCATCTCGTTGAGCTCGGCGTAGAACACGCCGTCGGCGACGAACTGTGAGCGCGTGGACGGCGGGGGCGGGGAGCGGGGAGAGGGTCAGAGCCAGTGGGGGGCGAGTTTTCGTGCGCGAAACCCTAAAACACGCATCCGCCACCGGCGACGGGCGCTCGCGCGCGGGTGGACGCGGCGCGAGCGACCCGGCGTCGATCCGGACGCGTGCGATCGTCGGTACGATCACGCCGCGCGCGGACGGCGACGGACGGCGGCGGCGACGCGCGCGAGGCGACCGAGCGCGTCGGTCGCCGGCGCGCGACTCTCGACCCGCGGTCGGGAAAAAATCCCGACGCGAGGTCCGGTCCGCGGCCGAGGACGACGCGCTCGACGCGCGAGCGCGGTCGCGCGGTGGGCGGATGCGCGGCCGTGATGCGTACCTTGCGTTTCTTCGAGATTTGGGCGGACATGACGGACGTGTGTGCGTCTGAAAGAGGGCGAGTGCGGGCGATGATGCAAGGTTTTGAGGACTGCCCGAGTCCGACCGACCACCGAACACCGGCCAGACCTGCGTTTATCATAGCAGACAAACACCACTTTTCGGGAAGCGTAAGCGTTTCAGTGCGGAGGGCGCCTCCCCCCGGGGCGCCCGGATGGAACGGTTCCGCGCGGACGCGCTCGCGATCGGTTGCCTCGTCGGGTTTAAGCACTTCTCGACGTCGACGCGCGGCCGCGAGGAGCTGCTCGTGACCGTGCGCCACGGCGACGACGCGACCGAAGATGGTGGGGCCCCCGAAGGTGGGCACCGAGGTGGGAGCGACGAGGAAGGCACGAGGTGCGACGCGCGCGGAGAGAACGCGCGCGAATTTTCTCGCCCCGCCCTGCCTCGGTGGATGACGACAACAGTTCTTACTTGATTGCGCAAGGGCTCTGAGGGACGGCGACCGCCGTCACCCCTGACGCGAACGCCGAACTACAACACTCCGACACCGAGATTTGTTTTTTTGATTGCATCGTCGCCGCGCCCGTCCCTCGTCCCCCGGTGACCGACGCTCCCGCCCCCGCAGCCTCGGCGACGACGACAGCACCACGTTCTTAGTCTCGCCCCCGATCGTGTGGCGACTGCGGTCGAGCCCGAACGCCGAGGACGTCGCGCTCGAGCTCGACGCCGCGCGCGACGGCGGCGACGTCCGCGCGCACGCGATCGTGAGAGAGCTCGTGAACGTGTGCGTGTTCCCGAACCCGGCGAACGCGCTCGAGTTGGACGCGATGGCACCGAGCGCGGGCGAAGTCACCGAGGACGAGCGCCGTAGGCGGTGCCTCGCCGCGGCGGCGACGGCGGCGTATCTGCGAGACGTTTCATTCGACGCGCGCGCGAGGGGGGAGACCGCGTTCGCGACGATGGTCGAAGCGGACGCGCGCGCGATGGTCGCCGCGCACGTGAAGAGCATACCCGAGGACGTCCTCGCGAGATTTAGGTAGAGAATTCGTACTATAAGATAGTAGACGATTAGATGGTGCCGAACGAGTGGACTCGTTCAACTCGACGCTTCCGCGCGCGCGGCTTCCAACGCGGCAACCTTCTCCGTCAACGCGTCCACCATCGACTTCAACGCCGCCGTCCTCTCCTTGAGCTCCTCGTTCTCCTCGCTCGTCTCGCCCATCATCTCGAGCGCGTCCACGTGCCTGTCCTCGAGCGCGGTGAGTTGCCGTTTCAAGTCCGCGGGGTTCCCGACCTCGTCGATGAGCCACGTCGCGGACATGAGCTCGTTCGCGAGCTCTCGTTGCGTCTTCTCCAACGATTTGATCCGGTCGTTCGCGATGATGACTTCGCTGTCGCTCGCGCGCAGCCGCCTCTGAAGCTCTTCCGTGGCGCGGTCGATCGCGAGGCGCACTCCGGACTCGCCGCCCGCGCTGACGGACCGCGCCGCGCGCGTCAGCGCGGCGACGACCTGGTCGCCTTGGTCGCCCTCGGATGCTTTTTCAGCCTCCGCGTTTTTCGCCGCCGCCGCCGCCGCCGCCGCCGCCGCGGCTTCCTCCGCCGCGGCCTCCGCGGCGGCGTCTCTCTGCTCGATCACCCTCTGAAGCTCGCGTATCTTGTCTAAGAGCGACGACTCTTTCGCGACGAACTCCGCGCGTTCGCGCTCCCACGCCGCGGTCGCGGCTTCGTGGCGCCCTCTTTCCTCCGCGAGCTGCCTTCGCGCCTTCGCCTCTCGCCCCCTCGCCTCCTCCTCGACCGCGTGCATCCTCCCCTCCTGCATCGCCGCGGTCTCCGCTTCCTCCATCACCCTCGCGCGCTCCTCTCTCGCCGCCGCGCGCTCGGAAGCGAGCTGTTTCTTCGCGTTCGCGGTCTCCGCCTGCGCTTTCGCGGTCAGTTCCCGCGCGCGCGCCGCCGTCGCCTTGGCATCCGCGGCGTCCTCCTCCGCCGCCGCTTCCCGTCGCGCCGCGGCGCGCGCCGCTTCCTCCGCGTCCGCGACTCGTATCTTGAGCAACCGCTCCGCGCCCGCCCACGCTTCCGCGCGCTCGTTCTGCTGCGATCGCATCGCTTCGATCTGACGAATCAACGGACGCGTGCTCTCGGGCATCGACTGCGCGAGCTCCTCGTGTCGACGTTCGGACTCTTGACACCGGCGTTCCATCTCGCGAACGTCCTCCGCGGCGCGTTCCTCCCGTCTCGCCGCGTTCTCCGCGGCTTTCGTCATCGCCTTTCGCAACCCGTCGACCTGGTCCTGAAGCGCGTATTCCCTCGCCGCGGCGTCCTTGAGCTCGGTCTCGAGCCGAGCGCGCGTCTCGCCGTCCGCCGCCGCCTCCGCCGCCGCCGCCGCCGCCCGAGCCTTCGCGAGCTGATCCACGAAGTGCGTCTTCTGCGTCTCGATCTCCTCTCTGAGCGCGAGCATCTCCCTGCGAAGCCCCTCGGTCGTCGCTTTCGCGTCCTCCAGCCGCACGCTCAGCGCCGCCGCCTTCGCCTCCGCGTCCTTCGCCGCGGCGTTCTTCTTCCTGACGTGCGCCTCCATCTCCGCCTGTTTCTTTGACAGCTTCTCGCCCTCGGCCATGACCTCGGTGATGATGTTGTCCTTCTCTTTCAGTAGCTCGCCTTGCTCGCCGCTTCGGTCAATCTCCTTGCGCAGCGCGTCGCGCTCTTTCGTCAGCGCGTACACCTTGCGCTCCGCGGCGCCGACGCGTTCGATCCCAGCCTCGCGCTCGGCGCGCGCGTCGTCGCGTTCTTTCGTCAACGCGTCGACCGCGCCTCGAAGCGTTCGCACTTCGTTGTCCTTCTCCTCCGCGACCGCTTCCGTGGACGCCGCGGTCTTCGAGTTCGCCTCCAAGAGCTGCTTCTCCCTCGCGGCGAGGGTCTCGCTCAGGGACGCCAGCCGCGCGTCCTTCTCCGCGAGCGACGCGCGCAGGCGTTCGAGTTCAGACGCGGACGCGGACGCGGACGCGGACGCCGCTGGGGTCGGCGCGGCGGCGGGTTCCTGCTGTTTCTTCGCGCTCTTCGACTTCTTCCCGCGCGTCGACGCCGCGGGAACGACCGCGGCGGGCGCGACCGGCGCGACCGGCGCGGCGGGCTCAGCGGGAGCGGGGGCGACCGGAGGAATCGCGCTCGTGCCGTCTCCGCCCGCGCTCGCTTCTTTGTCGCCGTCCCCGCCGCTCGCGTTCTCACCCCGCGCGACGTTCAGCCCCAGCTGCGCGTCGTACGAGTCCACGGTGTCCGCGATATCGTTCGCGACTTTGCTCGCGTGCTCGACCATGGAGTTCATCGCGCCGGTGACGTCCACGGCGTTGAGGTCGAAGGTGGAAGCTTGCTCCGAGAGCGAGGTCAGCGTGGACGTCAGATCGAGGTTTCCGACGCCCCAGTCATCGGAGGAACCCATGCCCCAGGTCCCCAGGCCCCATCCTCCGTCGTCGGCGTCGGCCTTCTTCCCGTCGGACATCGCGTCGGACGCGACGTCGCGGCGCGCGCCGGTGCCACTGACGAGCGCGGGGGCTCGATCGGTTCTGTTCGAAAGTGTCAGAACGCGAACAAAAAGTCTGCGATTGAAAACTGAAGTTGGCACCTTCGGTGGCGCAGGGCGATGGCGCCGCCGCCAACCTCGGAGTGGGGTCTCGACCCTCTGTTCTGGGTGAATGTCAAGGTCGCGGTGTGCGAGATTGTCGGCCCGGACGCGGTCGTGACGGACGCGGAGGGAGGGCACGGCGCGGTGCGGCTCTACCGCGGTCGACCTTTCCGTCGATGCGAGCTCATGGGTCACGTCGTGTCCTTGTACGCGAGGGACACGAAGACGCTGTTCGTCCTGGACGACGGCACGGGGACGATCGAGTGCGTCGTGTGGATGAAGTCCGAGGGCGACAACGGCGGGGGAGGGGACGGGGGCGTGAGCGTGGACGACTTCGGGATCGATCTGAACGCGCTGCGTTTAGGCGCGCTCGTGCGCGCGCAAGGGCGCATCACGGAGTACGTGGGGAACAAGCAGATCACGGTCCGGACGCTTCAGGCGTGCGCGGACGCGAACGTGGAGCCGTTGTTTTGGTTAGACCAAGGGCAATGCGTTCGGGAGATCGAAGAGGACGCGCGGCGGCGCGCGGACGAAGGCGGATGAAGGGCCGCTTTCGAGTTAGATGTTCTCATCAATGAATTAGATTTAGAGAGCTAGTCCGAGTCGTCGTCGTCGTCGATGACAGCCTTCCTCCTCTTCTTCGGCGCCTCCTCATCGGCGTCTTCCTCTTTCTCTTCCACCGCGGGCGCGGCGCCCTTCTCTTCCTCCTCCTCCTTCTCCGGGGACCCGTCGCGACCGCGTTTCTTCTTCTTCGCCGCCGCCTTTTTCGCGAGCTTCTTCATCGCCGCGTTCGCCTTCTCCTGCCGCTCCTCCTCCTTCGTCTTGCGCTTCCCACCACGCCCGCGCTTCGTCTCCTCCTTCGGCGGGGATGCTCGCTTCTCCTTCCCCTCCGTCGGCGCGTCCGGCATCTCGTCGTCGGAGTCGCTGTCCGAATCCCCTAACCCCGCGGCTTTCAACTTCGCCTTGGCGTCCTCGGTGAGGTCCTTCTCGTCGTCGTCGCCGTCGGTGTCCTTCGCCTCCGGTTCGTCCTCGGAGTCGTCGTCGGAGTCGTCCAGGCCCGCAGCCTTGAGCGCAGCCTTCTGTTCGTCCGTCAGTTTCTTCTTCTTGTCCTTGTTCAACGGGTTGTCCGGGTGGTCGTCGGGCAGGAGGATGTCGTCGTCGTCCTCGTCGTAGTGCAACGACGTCGTCTTCTCGCCCTTCTTCGATTTCTTCCGTTTGCCGCCGCCCCCTTCGATGGCCTCCTCCGCCTCGCGAATCTCCGTGGTCTTCTTCAGCCACTGCTCTTGCGACTGCTTGAATCTCTCCGCGGCGGCCGCGGCGGCCGCCTCCGCAGCCTTCCTCTTGAGCTCCTCCGCGGCTTCCTTCGCGGCGTTTTGCGCCGCTCGCGTCTCCTCCGCGGCGCGTCTCGCCGCCGCCTGCGCGTCCCGCCGCGCCTGCAGCGCCGCCTCCTCTCTCTCCGCCGCCTCCAGATGCGGCTGCGCGGACTTGAGCGCCTCAGCGCAGAACGAGACGTGAATCCCGACGCGCTTCTTATCGAACCCGTACTCTGGGGCGTTCTTTTTCGCGTCCTTGTCCTTACTCGACGCGCTCGCGACTTTTTGGAGCTGCTCGAAGAGACTCAACGCGAGCTTGAACTCCTCGATCGCGTTGAGGACTTGCTGCAGACGACCGGTGCCTTCGGTGCCTTCGCCGCCGCCGGGAGCAGCCTTGCCCTTCTCCGCGCCCTTCAACGTCCGGTTCAACGTGCGGTGCGCGTTCTCTTGGAGGACATACGCGAGGTTAAAACGCAGGCGGTGATTCCACGGCGCGACGTGAAGCGCGCGTCTCAGGAACGACTTGCTCTCCTCCAGCGACGCGGCTTCGTACGAGTTCCGAGCTTGGTACAGCGATACTCTGTGGTCGAGGTTGTTGAAGAACTGCGCCTGCGCTTGCTCGTAGTGCTTCGCCGCGGCGACGTAGTTCCCTTTCGCCATCTGCACGTGCCCTTGGTTGATCCAGATGTCCGGGGACGACATCAAGCTCGAGTCCGCGGCGCCCTCCGCGCCCTTCCCGGTCGCCGCCGTGATCCCCTCGGCGACCATCTGGAACGTCGCCTTCGCTTCGTCGATGCGCCCTTTCTCCGCGAGGAGGATGCCCAGCCCGTTCGCGGCGTACATGTCGCTGCAGTTTTTCTGCAGCGCTTTCGTGTACAACGTCGTCGCGTAGTCCAGGTGCGCTTGCTCCGCCTCGCGGACTTTCGGGTCCCCGCGCTTGTGGTTCACGCTGCTCTGAAGCTTCACGGCTTGGTAATACGCCGCGTTCGCGAGCGAGAGCATCGCGTACTCGTCGTGCTGGTGCGTCGCCGCGTTCGGGTCTTTACCCGCGGCCGCGGACAACGCCGCTTGCGTCGGCGTGAGCTTCTTCGGGAGGTTCCTGAGCGCCTTAAACTGCGCCTGCGCCTCGGACCATCGGCTCTGTTTCATGAGCACGTGACCGACGGACGCCATCGCGTCCGGGTCGTCCGGCTTGGTCTCCAACGCCTTGCGCGCGAACTGCTCCGCGGCGGCGAAATTTTCCCGCTTCGCCGCCATCGCGGCTTTGCGGAGTAAGCACTCCGTCATCTCCGGGGAGGCGACGAGGAGGTCGTCGTACCGCGCGGTGGCGTCCTCGATGTCGCCCTTCTCCTCCGACAGACGCGCGAGGTTAAACGCGACCTGAAGCCGCGCGCCCGTCGCTTTCCTTCTCTCCGCGGGTTCGTCCAACGCCTCGCCTTTTTCTCCCTTCCCGCCCTCCTCCTTCGCCGCAGCCTCGAGCGCGGCGAGGAACACCGCCCTCGTATCCTCGTGCCCGGCCGCGCCCTTGGTCATCGCCTTCAAGACGCCGACGTTATTCAGCAGCGAGGACGAGATCGTGGACGTGCCGTCTGCTTTTTTCCCGCCGTTGTTCAAAATCTCAACCGCGCCCTCGTACGCCGCGAGCGCAGCCTCGTACTCCCTCGCCGCCAACAGCGCGTCGCCGTGCTCGATCTGCGCATCGTAGTCGTACGGGTCCGCCTCCACGGCTTTCTTCAAGATGCCCGCGGTCTCGAGATCGCGCCCGGGCCCGGCGCCGATGTTGCCCACGGACGCGACGCCGCCGCCGCCGTTCATCGCCGCGGCGTCGTCCGCGATTCGTCGGCAGTGTCCGTACACCCTCTGCACTTCCACGCTGTTCGGGAACGCGGCGTACGCCCGCTCCGCGTACGTCAGCGCGGCTTTGTTATCGCCCCTCGTCAGCGCGACTTGCGCTAACCCAAAGTTTGGCTCGTGGAACGTCTCGTCCATCTGCGCGGCGGCTTGGTACAACCCCTGCGCGCGCTGCAGCTCCCCGCGCGAGTGGTGCGCCTTCGCGCGCGTCATCGCCGCCTGCGCCCTCAAACGCGGCGTCGACCCGATCGCGTCCGCGCCGCCGCGGATTAGCGTCTCCGTGAGCTGCTCGATCGCCTGAAGGTTATCGTCCCCGGCGTACAGAAAGTGCTTCGCGAGCTCGACTTGCGCGCCAGGGTGATGCGGATCCAGAGTAAACGCGCGCTCGAGGAGCTCCAAACCGCGCTTCACCGCGGCGACGTAGTTCGTCTTGGCGTCCGCGAGCTTCTCCTCGACGGATGGACCGTCCGCGCCGCCGCCGTCCCCGTGCGTCAGCTCCGCCGGCACCGCGGACGCGGCGTTAAACTCGACGGACGCCAAGCCGACGAGCGCGTCAACGTTGGTCGGCTCCAGCTGTATCGTCCGCTCGAACGCGAGCCGCGCGCCTTCAAAGTTCCCGAGCTGGTACTGGCACGCGCCGATGCCGAGGCGCACGCCCGCGGGCGCGGCCGCGCCCTGCGACCTGAGCGCCCGCCTGTACCACTGCAGCGCCTCCGCGAATTGCCCGCGGTCGTAGAGCAGCCGCGCCTTCATGAGCAACGGGAGGACGTTCCCCGCGCCTCCATCCTTGAGCGACCGCGCGGCGTCGACGAGCTTCTCCGCGGCCGCGAGGTTCCCTTTCGCGAGCTCCAAGTGCGCGCGTCCCACGACCGGGGCTTGCTCCGGCTCCTCGCCGTTCGCTTTTTGTTTGATGAGCTCCGCGGCGCGCAGCAAGCCGTCGGCTTTGTAAAAGTGGTCGTCGCGTCGAATCTTGTCGTTCTCCGCCTTGCCCATGTTGACGTGGTACGACGCGAGCGTGCACAAGATCGCGGTGCGCTCACACTTGCTGTCGGGGTAGTACGTCTCGATCTCTGTGGGGTCGAAAGCGAGCGCGGTCGCGGTGAGATCGGGGCGGCGCGCGGGGAGGGAGGATCGCGGCGCGAATTGGATTCGGAGGAGGATCGATCGATCGATCGATCGATCGATCGACGGTAGGGTTGCGCCCGGACGCGCGATCGGCGCCGCGTCACGAACGCGCGCGCGGGCGCGCGAGAGAGTCACCCCGCGCTCTTCTCACCTGGCTGCGTCGCCTCCTCTAAGATGTTCCTGAACTGCTCCTCTTTCCCCTTCGACAAGTACGCCTTCGCGACGTGAAGCCACACGTCCAACGGCGCGAGCTCAGCCTGAAGGATGCCGAGGATCTCTCCCTCGTCGTCCGGGAGATCGTTCACCGCGACCTCCACGGCCTCGTTCGTGTCACCGATCGGGATGTATATCGTCATCCCGGAGATGGCAGCGTCCGTCTCCATCGTGGATCCCCGGTGATCGCGCCCGAGCGACGCCGATCTTCCGCCCCGAGGAGAGTGGCGCGCGCGAGAAAACGCGGCCGGATTTTATGAAAGTGCGAAAGCCGCCGCGCGCGCGCGAGCGCTCACAAAAAAGACCGGACATTTCATCCCCGACCGCCGCCAGTCCCGCGCGCGCGACGACCGGTCCGCGAACTCGCGGCGCGGCGTCGCGAACGCGCGTCGCGGAGACATGGACCACGTCCCACTGCCGCAGCGCCCGCCGCGGAAGCGCGCGAGGGCCACCGCGGCGGCGGAGAGGGCCGCGGCGGCGGGGACGTCGACCCGCGAGGCATCATCATCGGGCGGTGCCGAGGAAACGAACGAGGCAGACGAGGCAGACGAAGCAGACGAGGCAGACGAGGCAGACGAAGCAGACGAGGCAGACGGCGAGGACGACGACGACGACGCGGAGACCCTTCCAGAGTTCATCCCCGGGATCCCGATCGTCGACGCGTTCGACGGCGAGCGGCGGTACGAGTACAAGGACCACACCGCGGACATTCAGATTCACGCGTGGGGCGCCACCGTCGAGGAGTGCTTCGCGCGCGCGGCGTTGGGGATGTTCGACTACATGACGCCGCTGGATAAGCTGAGCGAGGGCGCGTCGAGGGCAAGGGACGAGGGCGTCGCCCCGGGCAGCGGGCGCGTCGCGGTCGCGGTCGCGCGCGGGGGAGAGGGAGACGGCGCGGGAGGGGGAGAGGGAGACGGCGCGACGGGCGCGGAAAGGGAAGCCGCCGCCGGCGCGACGGGCGCGACCGAGGGTCGCGTCGTCCACGGCCACGCGTTCGTCGTCGAGGCGCACGACGCGCACTCGCTCCTGTTCGCGTTCCTGGACGAGCTCCTCTTTCACTTCCACACGTCGATGCTCGTATGCACGAAGATACAAGTCGCGACCATCGACCGCACGCGCTGGCGCGTCGAGTGCGTCGCGCTCGGGGAAAAGTTTGTCGACGGCGTGCACGAGCAGGGGACGGAGATCAAGGCGATCACGTACAGCGCGATGCAGATCTTGGAGGCGGGGGAGGGGAAGGACGGGTGCGCGGAGGTGTTCGTCATCGTAGACATCTGACACGTTAGTTAGCCATTCAGTAAAGTGACTTCCGGGAGACGCGCGACGGACGAGAGAAGATTCTTTCTCATCACGACTGGATCTCTCATCCGGGGGCTTGCGGCCGCTCGTGGGCTTCCGGTCGGTCACCAGCACACGTGCGGCGCCGTACAGTAATACTTTAACGTGTCTCCCGAACCGCGTCAGAGCGAGGCGCGCGAGGAGGCCGTGTCGTCGGCGCGGATGGGTCGAGTCGCGATCGCGGTCGCGCTGACGCTGCTGTGCGTCGCGACCCCGACGATCGCGCCGTGGGAGAACGGCGCGGACGCGGCGTGGAGTCTGCGACTGAACGGCAGCGGATTCGTCGTCGAAACCCCACATGCGGAGAGACCGCCGCCGCCGGAGCAGCCGACGCTGCACCCGCGGACCGTGGGCGAGAACGCGCCGCGGTCGTGGGACGATCGCGGCGGCGTTGTGGTCAAGCCGGGGAGTTGGTACGCGTGGGAGCACGTCGGCGTCGTCCCGGAGCGCGCGCGTCTGGACGAGCACCCGGGGAACGGGACGGCGACGCGTCGGGTGAAAAGGGCGCCGCCGACGTCGGGATGGAACGACGCGCTCGCGGCGAGCGCCGCGAAACGGAAGAGAGCGTCGGAGCCCGGGCTGTCTGTGCTCTTCCAGCAGTACGGCGGCGTCGACGAGGCGCTGCGGACGCTCAGGGCGAAGGCGAAAGCGTTCGACGACGAGCGCGACGAATCGGACGACGAAGAGAAATCGAAGACGTGGGACCTCATGGGGAACGCGTACCGGGTCAAGGGCGAAAGCGACGTCGCGTTCGATTGCTTCGAGCGCGCGTTAGAGTTAAAACCCAACGCGAACTCGTATTTACACTACGGCGGCGCGCTGAGGGCGGCGGGGGATCTCGAGGAGAGCGTGCGTCTGTTCGGGTTGGGCCTGGAGCTCGCCCCTCGGCACACGTTGTTGCGGTATAACCTAGGGATCGTCTACGCGGAGACGGGACGATTGAAGGAGGCGAGCACGAGCTTGAAAGCAGCGCTGTCGATATCCCCAACGTTCAAACCCGCGAGAGAGCTCCTGCGCTCGGTCAGGAATAAGATGCGGAGCAAGTGGTTGCCTCAAGACGCGAGACGGATCATTCACGTCGTCTCCGGATTCGTCCTGTTGGTCATGGCCGTGCACAAGGTCATAAGCAAGTTCCACACCCTCGGCGTCATCGGGGGCACGGAGGGGGGGAACGGCGGCAGGGGAACGGGCGCGCACGGGTTGCCGCGCGTGCGGACGAAGCGGAACAACAACAAGAAATCGTCGCCGCGCGGCGTCGCGTCGCCGAGGAGTCCGCACTCCGTCGCGAGCTCGCAAGGGACGTCGCCTCGGGGGGGGCAGGGCACGTCGCCTCGCGGTAGGTGGTAGGCGGTCGTTTTACGAATGGACTACGTGTGAACGCGAGCGAGACCGACGGATGCTAACCTATCGTCGTTCGAAACCACCGCGCGCGCGCGTACTGTGCGGACGACCGCGCTCGCGCCCTCGGGCTCGACTCAACCTTTCGTCGGCGGCGGCGGATTCGGCGGCGGCCACGCCACCCATCCCGTCTCCTCGAACACCGGCGGCGCCCGCGACGGCGCGCGCGCGCCCGTCGCGTTCGTCGACGCGTCCGCGTCGTCGTCGTCGTCGTCGTCGTCGTCTCTCGTTGCCGTCGCGCTCGCCCCGCGCGGCGGCGGCGGCGGCATCGCCGCGAGCGCCCACCCCTCCTCGTCGTCGCTCGAGCTCGCGTCGTTCGCGGCGCTCGTCGCGTTCGCGGGACCGTCTCCGCGCGAGACGCGCGGGCTACGAGTACGCGGCGGCGACGACGACGACGATGACGGCGGCGACGACGGCGACGGCGACGACGCGACGGCGCGCGCTCGAGTCCCCGGCGCCGGCGGCGGTCGTCCCGCGTCCACCTCGCGCTTCTCGTCGCGAACCGTCGCGTTCGAGCGATCGTTCTCGTCGATCTCGCGCGCCTTACCCTTCCCTCGCGCGTCCTTCTTCCACGCGCTCGCCCGGTCCCCCGCCGCCTCTGGTTCCGCCCCCGCCTTGATCACCGTCGTCGCGACCGGCATCGGCGACGCGGACTTCCCCGTCCACGACGCCGGGATGAGCTTACTCGCGTCCACCGCGCCCTTCGTCACGTCCTCCAACACGCGCTTCACGTTCAGCATCCGGACGTCTTGATACCCCGCGAAGACGATGAGGCCGAGCATGACGACGATCGAGCCGCCCCACAGCCATCGCCGTCGGCGCAGCGGCGGCGGCGGCGCGTCCGTCGCCGCGGACATGTCGTCCAGGGACGCGTGCCGCGCGCTGCACAGAAATGAGTGGACCCGCGCGGTGCGACACTGGAGAGGTGACGTGAAGATGATCTACTTATGTGTTCGATCTCACGCTCGACGCGTCAACTACCTATCAATCCGCTCACGGAATCCCCCACCGCGCTCGCGGTCTGCCACAGCGGGTGATAATCGTACCCCGGATCGAACACGAACTGCGGGAACCAATCCTCGGTGGGGTCCTCGAGCTTGTGCCAGAACAGGACGATCCACGGCCCGACGCTGCCGAGGATCACGTTTAACCAAATCGCGAGGTCCATGGACATCTGCTTCCTCCACCCTAACGTGCTTATGAATATCAACAGCGCGACGGTCAGCGACCCGGTCGTGCCTTTCACCAACCGCAAGTGGAAGTCCGAGTCGTTAAACACCCGCGACGTGTGCCAGAACGCCTCCGGCCCGAGCGCGGTGTACAGCGCCATGTAACAGTTATCGAAAATCGCCGCGAACGCGTTCAGAGACACGTACGTCAACGTCGCCGCGTCCGGGGTCATCTTCCCTAACCTGCGCTTCGACCCGGCGCTTATCATGTCCTGGAATGAATCGCCGGACGCCGACTCCGGCGTCAGCGCGAGGACAAACTCCGTGCTCTCCCACAGCTTCGCGATGGAGAAATACCAAAAAGGCATCACACTCCAGTACATCCAGGGCGGCGCGTCCGGCTGTGCGCTCCACGCGATGAAAACGACGCCCTGAAACGACGCGACGAACGAGTACCCGAGCTTCATCGCGTACTTCCCTTCTTTCGACGCTTTGAAGATTTGCATCAACGGCGAGTACGTCAGCGCGTTCGTGAGAAACAGCGCGCTGCTCACCCACATCCACGTCCACCCCGGACTCTCTCGGTACACGCGCTCCAACGCGACGCCGTACAAACCCGTCACGAGCGCGCCGCCGCCGGAGACGACGTGCAGCCACGACGCCCGCGTGCGGCTCTTCCGCGCTATCGGGTTCCCCACGGGCGCGGGGATCAAGCTGCTGCGCCACAGCGAGTACACCGTGCACGCCGCGAGCAACCCGAGGAACGAGTCCTCGACGACGCCGCCGACGCCGGGGAGGTGATTCGCGACGAGGAGCTCCCCCGCGCGCGCCACCTCCCTCGCCGCGCCCGCGGGGCCGCCCGCGGACGCGACCGCCGCGCCGAGGAGGGCGACGAACGCGGTCACCGTGCCGATCTCGCGAGCGCTCATGCCGTCGCTCGCGTTCGTCTTCGCCGCCGCCGCCGCCGCCGCCGCGTCTGGCTTCGGCGGGACGTACTCGGAGAAGCGATCTTTCGGCGCGCGGCACTGCGGGCACTCGAAGTCCGCGCCGAGCGCGTCGAACGGCGTCTCGAGCGCGTAGATATACCCGCACTCCTCGCACACGTGCGTCGCGGCCGCGGTCTTCGGCTTCGTCGCCGCCGCGGCGTCGTCCACGGCCACGGTCGAGGAGGACGTCTCCGAGGAGGACGATCGCGCCGGTCGCGGTCTGCCGTCGCGGAACCGCTTCGCGCGCGCGCCCTTGGGTTTCGCCGCGGACATGGCGGCGCTCACGCGCACGCATCGCACGCGCGCGGGGGGGACGGCGGCCGCGCGCGTCGCGCGCGGCGTGGTGACCCGGCGCGCGACGACCGCGGGCGCGGGCGCGCATCGCGTGGCCGACATCGCCGCGAGCGCCATCCCTCCGCGGTCGCGCGCGCCGCGATCGATGCAGCGCGCGACGCGTGTTCTCTCCCTCCGCGCGAGAGTCGCAGAGGAGCTCGGGAGGAGAGCCGCGCGAGAGAGTCGACTCGAGGCTCGCGGCCGCGCTCCGCGGTGCGGCGTCGTGTGCGGACGGGACCGAACACGATCTCGCCCTTGGATAAGAGGAGATCTCCGAGCAGTGCAGCCTGACTTCCCGTGAACTGCTGGTGTGATGTGAGCCTGCTGGTGTGATGTTCCCGCAGCTCGTCGCGTGTGTCGATCTGGTCTGGTGTATTATTTTTGCTATCCCCCGTCGCGTCGTCATCACACGCCCATTCCTCCCATCAACGTCGAGAGATCCTCCACCTCGCGCGCGGGAGAGCTCGGCGCCGTCTCGAAATCCCCGTTCTCGTCCTCGCCGCCGCCGCCGCCGCCCGCGACGGAGCCGTCCTCCTCGACGTCGTCCGTCTCCGCGCTGCTGTCCAACGGCGGCGGCGAGCCCTGCGAGCCGTCCACCTCGTCGTCGGGGACGACGAAGTCGTCCAGAGACGCGCCGTCGTCGTCGTCGTCGTCGTCCGTGTCGTCGTCCTTATCGCTCGCGACGTCGTCGATGAGCGCCGCGCCGCCGGAGCGTCCTTTCTTGCGTCCGGGCGTCGCGTACTTTCCGGGCGTCTTTCCGGGCGTCTTCGCCCTCGCCGGCGTCTTCGCCCTCGCCGGCGTCTTCGCCTTCGCGTCCGGCGACGTCTCGACGACGACCTCCTCCACGTCATCGTCATCGTCGTCCTTCTCCTCCTCCTCCTCCTCCTGCTCTCGCTTCACCGGCGTGACGGGCTTCTCTCCGACGCCGTACTTCGCGTGCGCTTCCTTCTCCACCTCGTAAATCTCGAGATCCAAAGACGCGATGCGGTTTCGAATCGACGCGCCGCGGTCCGGGAGCTTCTTCACGACGAGAGGCATCTCGAGCAAGAGCTTTTGCTTCTCGCGCGCCTTCCGCAGCTCGTCGAGCTTCTCCGTGATGATCGTCTTCGCGCTCGGCGCGGCGATCGTCTTCGCGATGCTCGTCGGCGACGACGAGTTCCTCCCGACCGCGATCGCGCTCCCCGCGGCGGCGGCGAGGCCGGCGAGGGACGCGTCGCCGCCCCAGCCGGCGTCGACGCCCTTCCACGCGCCTTTGCTCCCACCCTTGCCGCCGCCGCCACCTCCGCCGCCTCCGCCGCCGCCGTTTTTCTTCGCCGCGACGGAAGGTCCGGACAGCTCCGTCGCGCCGCCGCCCGCTTTCGTGCTGTCATCTTTGCTGAACAGCAAGTCGTGGTCGCTCACGCCCGCGGCGCCGAGACGTCTCAACAGCGGGTGCTCGATCTCCGTCAGCTCCTTGGTCCACTTCCTCTGCCCGGCGTGCAACCGCTCGAGCTCGATCTGCGTCGTGGACGAGTTCAACCCCGACTCCGTGACCTCGAACAGCTGGCTCGTCTCCTCCGCGCTGAAATAGCGAAAGTGGTTCCCGTCCTGCGTCCCCGCGCGGGAGAGACCGCCCTTGAACACTTGCCGCCGGTACACCTTCTCCTCCACGGTGCCGCACGTGACGAGCCGGTATACGACGACGTCCTTCTTCTGACCGATCCTGTACGCCCTGTCCACGGACTGCGAGTCAGACGCCGGGTTCCACGAGGGGTCGTAGATGACGACCCGGTCCGCGGCGGTCAGGGTAAGACCTAACCCGCCGACTTGGGACGTGAGCAGCGCGAGCGGGATGGACGCGTCGGATTGAAACCGCTCCACGCGCGCGTGACGTTCATCCGCGGGGACGTTGCCGTCGATCCTCACGAGCTTGTGGCCCTCCGCGGCGGCTGCTTTCTCGAGGACATCCAGCATCGCGCGAGACTGCGAGAAAACGAGCGTCCTGTGGCCGTTACTCGCGAGGTGCCGGAGCATGTCCATCAGGAACGCGGCTTTACCGGACGCCGACGGATCGCCGCCGAGATCGGCTTCGGTGAGCCCGGCGGCGGCGACCGCGGCGGCGACCGCGGCTTGCTTCCCCTCGTTCACCTCGTCGTCTTCGTCTTCGCCCTCTTCGTTGTTACCGGACTTGGATCCCCCGGGGGATTTCGAAGGCGACCGCGTGAACGTGGACGACGCCGCCGCGTCGGCGGCGGACGCGCCGGTTATCGCGCAGCACAACGCAGGGTGGTCGCAAATTTTCTTCAGCACGTTGATCGCGCTCAGCGCGGACCCGGTCTTGTTCAGCGCCGCCCTCACCGGGCCGGACTTTAGGAACTGCTGGTACAACCGCCTCTGCGCCGGTCGAAGCGGGAGCCACACGATGAGGTCGTTCTTGCTCCCGAGCTGCGACGGCGCGTGCTTCACCGCGCCCCATCCGGACGCGGCCGCCGTCGCCGCCGCGGATTCCCGCCGCGTCGTCTCCGCCGCCGATGACGTGTCTTCCCCTCCCGGAACGGCGGCGGCGGCGGCGGTCTCGTTTGATTCCTCGCCCGATGTCGTCCCCGCCTCGTCCGCCGCGGCTTTTGCGAGCACGGAGGATTTTTCGCGTCGTAACATGAACGGGCGGCACTTCGTCCGGAGCTCGTCCGACGCGCGCGCGCCCGCTTCTCTCTGCCGCTGGGTCGCGTCGCGGCTCTGCCCGAGGCCAATCTTCTTCGAGTATTCCCTCCTGAACTCGACCTCGTCCCCGAGTAAGCCGGGGCAGCACAAGTCGTACAGCGCCCAGAGCTCCGCGAGGTGGTTCTGTATCGGCGTCCCGGTGATTATGAGCCGGTACGACGCAGGGATCGTTCGAATCTTTCGCGGCAGCTGCGCGTTTGGGTTCTTAAGCTTGTGCCCTTCGTCGCACACGACCCAATCCCAGGACAAACCGGTGCCTCCGTCCGGGAGGTCTTGCCCGGCGACAATCGACCCGCGTCCGCTCGCGGCGGCGATGACGTCGCCGTCCTCCTCCGCCTCCGGCGCGCCGAGGGACGTCGCGTTGTGCGTGACCATGCCGTACGTCGTGAGTAAGACGCCGCCGTGGGTGAGTACTTTCGATAACGCCTTGTCTCGATCCGTTTTCGACCCCCCGCCCGCGAATCGGTGCAAGTTCACGCCCTCCTTTAACCCGGCGACGATGAATTCTTTCCCCCAGTGCGGCAGCAGCGTCGTCGGGGCGAGAACCAAGACCCGCTTCGCGGCTTTCGAGCGCAACAATCCGGCGGCGAACGCGGCGACTTGAAGCGTCTTCCCCAGACCCATGTCGTCCGCGAGTATCCCCCCGCGGTTGTTCAGCTGCAGGTTCCACATCCACCTGACGCCGTCTCTCTGATGGTCGTACAGTCGCGCCGCGAGCTCGCCCGCGAGCTCGAACTTCGGACCGCCCGCGCGTCCTTTCAGACGCATCGGCTTCGGGCCGTTTCCCGGGGTTTTGTTCCCACCGCCGGGCGTCCGCGGCGCCGCTCGAGGCGGCGGCGTCGCGGCGACGGCGGCGGGCGCGGCGGGCGCGGCGCGGCGAGGAGGCGTCGCTGCGACGGGTACATCGCGCGCCGGCGGCGTCGCCGCGGGCGCGGGAGCAATCTTCACCGCCGCCGGCTTCGTCCGCGTCGGCGTCGCGTCGAATCCAAACGCCGGCGGCGGTGGCGCTCTCGCGGCCGCGGGGGGCATCGCCGGCGCGAACGGCGCGACGACCGGCTTCGTCGGCTCCGCGACCGGCTCTCGCGTCAAGGATATCGTATTCATGTCGCACACGATGTCGTCGATCAAATTCGGGGAGTCGTCCGCCGTCGGCGGCGGCGGCGACGGCTCCGCGTCCGCCGTCTCCGTCGCGTCGGCGGTGACGTTCGTTTCCTCGACGTTTTCCTCGTCGTCGTCGTCGTCGTCGTCGTCGTCCGCGTCGGACTCGGAGTCGTCGATGAACACCGCGCGTCGTCGAACGACCGGCGTCGGCTCCGGCGACGGCGTGTCCGGGAGGTCGGATTTCTTCACGAGGCGGCCTTTACGCCGCGGCTGCGCCGGGGACGCGTCCGCGTCCGAGTCCATCGCGCTCGTCGCGTCGTTTTCCTTCGTGCCGAGTTCCCCGGACGTCGGCTTCAGCGGTCGACGCGCGGACGCCGCGGACGCGCCGTCGTCCGTCTCCGAGTCGAAGTCTAACGCGGACGCCTTGCCCGCCCGGATCGCCGAGATGCGTTGCAGCGCGGTCGCGGTGGGTACTTTTCGGTCACGCAGGACGCCTCGGCTCATGGGCGTCCGCGGATCTACGCGAGATCCCGAGGGGAACGAATGCGGGGATGTTCTCCGCTGGGACGTCTCCGCTGCTGGGATACGCGCGCGTCGCTCGATTTCGTGCTGTCAGCGGTATACCACGCGAACTATGCGTGCTCTTACGCGGCGTAGACGGTCGCGCTCCGCCGCGTGAAGGTGGCGGAGTCTCGCGCGCGAGTGCGAGCGCCCGTAGATGTGTCGTGGCTCGTCGACGAAACTCACGAGAAAACGGTTTCGATGGAAAGATTTTTTTTCCAGGGCGTTTCGTCGGTGGCGGTCGCGTCGCGGCCGGGAAGCCTGCGTACAGCGCGCGTCGAGCGATGCATGCGAACGGTATTTGTTCATTTTTTTAAAGGTTGTATTAAATGCCGTGCGTGATGAGCACGGCTATGTACACTACACAAGGCACAAATGATTGAGATTTTGCCCCTCACGCGAACGTCCCGGCTGGCGAAAAAAAGTCGCCGCCGAAGCGCCCCGACGACGACAGTCGTTCAGGATACGCGTGACTGTGAGGAAAGAATGGTAAAGAAGATCTGTGTCGTGGCTAATGTGCCTTGGACAAGAATTTTTCGGAAGCGCGCGCCCCCGACCGCGGTACAAAATTGAAAGCTGAAGAATCGAAGAATCGCCAGGGGTCGAGAGACGTTTAGTTCTCGACGCCCTCGATCTTGTCCTCGACTTCCATGTACAAGTTGCGGAGACGCTCGATGTTCTCCTCGCTCGTCTCCCAGTACCCACGCCCGTTCGCCTCGAGGAAGTTGGCGACCATCTTACGGAAAGAGTTCGGGTTCGTCTCCATGAGGCGCTTCTGCATCTCCGGATCCGCCATGTACACGTCGTTCGCGTCTTCGTACACCCAGTTGTCAACCTGCCCGGACGTCGCGGACCACCCGAGGGTGTTGTTCAGGCGCTTCTGGATCTCTCTCGTGCCTTCGTACCCAGACGCGAGCATGCCCTCGTACCACTTCGGATTGAGGAGCTTCGTGCGCGAGTCGAGGCGGACAGTCTCGGACAGCGAGCGAACTTGCGCGTTCGCCGTCGTCGTGTCCGCGATGAAAGACGCGGGCATCTTGCCATCCTTACGCACGCCCGCGACGAGCTTCGTCGGGTCCGAGTCAAAGTAGTGCGACACGTCCGTGAGAGAAATCTCGGAGGAGTCGAGGTTCTGGAACGTGACGTCCACCTTGGAGAGCGCGGACTTGAAGATATCCGTCTTCGTCTCCATGCCGCTGCCCGGGGCGTCCGAGTTGAACGCGAAGGACTTCCTGTTGAGGTACATCTCCTGGAGCTGGGACTCGTCGTTCCACGACGAGTTCTCCACCGCGAGGTTGACGTTGGAGGAGTACGACCCGGACGCGTTCGAGAAGATGCGCGTCGCCGCCTCGCGGATGGACAGGCCGAGTTCCTCAGCCTGCTCGACCGCGTGCTTGCGGACAAAGTTCATCTCGTACGGCTCGTCCTGCTCCGCCGCGAGCTTCACCGCGCGGTCGAGGAGGTTCATCTGGTTCACGAACAAGTCGCGGAAGACGCCGGAGCAGTTCACGACGACGTCGATGCGCGGGCGGCCGAGCTCTTCGAGAGAGATGAGCTCGAGCTTGTTCACGCGACCGAGCGCGTCCGGCATCGGGCGGACGCCAACCATGAGCATGACCTGCGCGAGGGACTCGCCGTAGGTCTTGATGTTGTCCGTGCCCCAGAGCACGAGCGCGATGGACTCCGGGTACACGCCGTTGTTCTCGACGCGCTGGCGCTCGATGAGGCGGTCGACGACAACCTTCGCGGACGCGAGCGCCGCGGACGTCGGGATCGCCTGCGGGTCGAGCGCGTGGATGTTCTTGCCAGTCGGGAGCACCTTCGGGTTGCGAATGGGGTCGCCGCCCGGGCCGGGGAGGACGTACTCGCCGTTGAGCGCCTCCGTGAGCGCGCCGAGCTCGTTGTCCTTGACAATCTGCTCGAGGCAGAAGCGGAGGTAGTCGAACAGCTTCCTGCCCGCGGCGACGTCGATGCTATCGAACTTGGTGCCCTTGAGGGAGTCGCCCCAGGGAAGCGCGACGGACGCGCCGCCGAACATGTTGCCGAAGGCGCCGAGCGCGCCCGCGGCGAGACGGCCGGACGGGTCGGACGCCTTGTTGACGAAGTCGCCAATCATCGCGCGGCTCGCCTCCGTGATGTCCTGAAGGAGCTGGACCTGCGCGAGCTCGCCGGCGTCGTTCGCGCGGTAGATCGTCTCGATGTCTTGGCCGACGCACTGCGCCAGGAGCTGCGGGAGCGCCTGAATCTCCTCGTCCTCGCGGTCGATGCCCGCGATGTTGACGAGCGTCGCCACCGCCTCCTCCGCGGAGGGGGGGCAGCCGACGACGTGGAGGCCGCACGGGAGGAGACGAGACTCAATCTCCATGAGCTTCTGGTACACCTTGCCGACGATCATGTCGCGCGTGTCCGAGTCCATGTCCTTCGCGTCGGCGTCCGCGTCCGTGGGGAGCTCCTTGATGTCCTTGTCGAGGTTGCACGTGATGGCGGTCGTGATGATCGAGTTCACGATGGACGGCCCGCGGCCCGAGTCCTTGAGGCCCTGGTACGACGCGATGAGCTCCTTGAGCTCCTTGAGGCCCTTGTACAGACCCGCGTTCTCCGCGGGCGGAGTGAGGTAGGAGATCGTGTTTGCGTACGAGCGGCGCTTCGCGATCGTCGCCTCGGACGGGTTGTTCGCCGCGTAGTAGTAGATGTTCGGCGTGTCCCCGATGAGGAGGTCCGGGTAGCAGTTCCCGGACATGCCCACCTGCTTACCGGGCATGAACTCGAGGGAGCCGTGCGTGCCGAAGTGCAGCACCGCGTCGGCGCCGAAAACCTTCTGGATGTACGTGTAGTACGCCGCGAAGCCGTGGTGAGGGGACGCGGACTTGGAGAACAGGAGGCGCATCGGGTCGCCCTCGTAGCCGAACGTGGGCTGGACGCCGATGAAGACGTTGCCGAACTTCTTGCCGTACACGAGGAGGTTCTGGCCGTCCGAGTTGAGGTTGCCGGGGGGAGGGCCCCAGTTCTCGTGGAGGGACTCCTGGTAGACGCAGAGCTTCTCGTACTCCTTGACGGTCATCTTGTGCTCGATGTTCAGGTCCGGGGACGCGAACTTGGCCTCCTTGTCGTTGAGCACCGAGTTGATGAGGTCCATCTCGTTGTCCGGCATGTTCCCGACGTTGTAGCCCTCCTTCTTCAAGCCCTGAAGGACGCGGAAGATGGAGCCGAAGACGTTGAGGTACGCTGCCGTGCCGACGTTACCCTTGTCCGGGGGGAACGAGAAGACCGTGATCGCGAGCTTCTTGTCGACGTTCTTCTTCTTGCGAAGCGCGGACCACTTGATCGCGCGCGTCGCGATCTGCGCCGCGCGGTCCTGGAGCGAGTGCGACTTGCCCGTCTTGGAGTCGCGGCCGGAGAAGATCACCGGCTCGAGGCCGCCGTCGAGCTCCGGGAGCGCAACCTGGAGGGCAACCTGCACGGGGTGGAGGCCCAGGGTGGAGTCCTTCCACTCCTCCGTGGTCTGGAACGAGAGCGGGACGGTCACCATGTACGGCACGTTGAGCTTCTTCAGGGAGTCGATAGCCTTGGGGTGATCCTGGCGCGCCGGGCCGCCGACGAGGGCGAAGCCGGTAAGCGAGAGCACCGTGTCCACGTACGCCCCCTTCGTGATCGGGTCGAAAAAGAACCTCTCGACCGGGATGGAAAAGTCGAGACCGCCGGCGAAGATCGGGACAACCTTCGCGCCGCGGGACTCGAGCTCCATCACCATGCCGGAGTAGTGCCCCTCGTCGCCGGTGACGAGGTGCGAGCGCTGGAGGACGAGACCGACGACGGGCGCGTCCTTCGCGAACTTCATGTCCTTGCGCGTGTCGTACCAGTTGAGGTACTCCTTGAGGTCCTCGTACATCGCGGGCGCGGTCGGGTGCCAGATGCCAATCTCCGGGAACGTCTCCGGCTCGGCGATCTCCATCTCCATGTCCGCGAGCGCGGGGACGTACGCCTTGGAGATCATCAGGAGGAAGTTCTCGAGGTTATCGGTGGAACCGCCGAGCCAGTACTGGAGCGAGTTCATGAAGTTCCTCGCGTCCTGCGCCTTGTCGGACGGGAGGTACTTGAGGATCTTCGGCAGCGTGCGCACGAGCTTGAGCATGCCCTCTTCGAACCCGCCAGACTCTTTCTTCTTCTTCATGAACGACGCGATCGCAGACTTGGACTGCCCGAGCTGCGCCATGGAGAACGTCCCGAGCTTGTTCAGCCTCATCACCGCGGGCATGGACGGGAAGATGATGCACGCGTCGAGCTGCGCGCGGAGCGGCTCGACGACGGCGACGATCTTTTCCGCGAGCTCTTCGATGAAGATCAGCGAGCCGATGAAGACGTTGGCGTTCTCGACATCCTTCTTCATCTGCGCGAGGTTCTTCTCGCTCCTGAGCTCCTCGAGGAGGTAGCCGGAGACTTCGAAGCACACCTGGGTGTTGTTCGCGTTGAGCTGCTGCACCGCCGCGGAGAGCGCGGACTGGTACTGCGACTCGAGGACGACGTACACCACCTTGACGACGACGCGGCCGTTCGCGACGGGGACGATCCTTCGAATCTCGGGGTCCACGTTCGTGTACTGGCCCGCGCCCTGGTCCGCCAAGATCTTGTCCTCGTCGGAGGATTCCGCGGACGTCGCGGGGCCCTTGGGGCCGGTCGCGACGTTGGAGATCTGATCGGGGAGGGGAGAAGGTGAGGGGATCGACGTCAGCGGGAGGTCGGAGGGAGGGAAGGGATAAAAAATAAGCGAAGAAAAAGTCTCCGAGGGACAACTGGCGCCGAAGCGCGGATAAGAAGCAGCCAGCGCCGCGATCGCGAGCGGGAGGGGAGGGGGAACCGCGCGCGTTCAGGCGCGCGGCGTCGCGCGAACGCTCCGGGGGCGGACGTACCGTGAGGTTGCGCTTGGCGACCGCAGATCGCGCGGAGAAAACCTGCGAGAACGATGCGAGGACGGGGATCACGTCAGCGAACCGCGCGGAAGAAGAGGAGGCGGAGAGGGGGGTTTCTTTCGCTCGGCGAGAAGCGCTCGAGAGAGGCGAAAGATTTGGAACGATCGCGGGTCGCCGAGACGCGCGCGCGGGGGCGATCGCGGCGACGCGTCGCGCGCGACCCCGCGCGGGGGCGATCGACGACCCCGCGACGCGACGAATCCGCATCGGCGTGGAGGGTTACGAACGCGCGCGCGCGATGCGCGCGCGCGCGTTCGCATCGTCGACGTCACCGCATCAGCGAGACCTCGCGGCGAGGATCCCCCGGAGGATGGACGCGCGCGCGCACCTTCTTCGCGACGACATTCGTCCGCTTGGAGGAGACCTTCGCGGAGACCGCGAGGTTGGTGAACGCGCCCGCGAGGGCGGAGGCCGCGGCCATCACTTCTGAGGTGTGCGGGTTTGCAACGCGCGCGTGTTGAGGCGCGAGGCAGGAATGGCGTGCGCGCGTCCACCGCGACGAGTAGAGGCGGTAAACCAACAGCGGGGGAGATCCGAAATATCTCGGTGCCACGCTGGGTCGTACTACGCGAAATTTCGTCTACGCGCAAACAGTTTAAACCTGCCCCCGATCGGCAGTACGCGCGTCGGAAACGAAATCTGCGAGCCGCGGTCGGGACCGATCATTGGCCGATCGTTTTCCCGTTCCGGGGCGAGGCGGAAAAGCGACGTGGCCTCGCGCGGTGGAATTTCAGGTTCAACGCGCGATTTGACCCCGCGCCGCGCGGTCGCGCGCCGGTGCGCGCCGGTCGCGCGCGGTCGACGCGCGCGTCTCATCGGTCAGCGCGCGGTCGTCGGCGCGGACGCCCCCGCGGGCGCTCAGAGCCAGTCAGAGCCTCCCGTTCGCGCCAGCTCGCTTCCTCCGATCGGCTTCGAGCGTACTGGCGCGAATCGCCCGCGCGCACTTCCCGCACGCGCCGCGAGAGGCACCCGACACGGTTCGTATCGATCCTCCGATCGCGAACCGCGCGCGCGTTCGCACGCGCACGCCTCCCTCGTCTCGTCGGAGCGTCGACAGGTCGCGCGATCGGACGGACGTCAATCGCGCGGGACGGTTATCGCCTCCTCTCGCGTTTCCCGCCGAGTTTTCTCTCAGCGCGTGTGCGCGCGCGTGCGCGACTGTAGTGTGTGACGAACGCACGAGATGGGCGCGTTAACGCTCCTCCTGAAGCATCCGAGCGACTTCATCCCGCTCGTGCGGGTGAAGATGATGGCGGACAAGGCGAAGAAGCTCCCGAAGGAGCCGAACCTCGCGTTCTGCTACGACATGCTCAACAAAGTCTCGCGCTCGTTCGCGATCGTGATTCAGCAGCTCCCGCACGAGCTCCAAGACGCGGTGTGCATCTTTTACTTAGTCCTGAGGGCGCTGGACACGATCGAGGACGACATGGCGATCCCGGAGAAGACGAAGTGCCCGGAGCTGGAGAAGTTCCACCAGAAGATCTACGACCCGAAGTACGTGTACCCGTGCGGGGAGAAGCACTACAAGAGGCTCATGGACGAGTACACGAAAGTCACCGCCGTGTTCTTATCCCTGAAGAAAGAGTACCAAGACGTGATCGCGGACATCACGAAACGGATGGGTAAAGGGATGTCGAACTTCATCCGACGCGAGGTCGTGAGCTTGAAGGACTGGGACGAGTACTGCCACTACGTCGCCGGCCTCGTCGGGATCGGCCTGTCCAACCTCTGGGCGAACTCGTTGCTGGAAGACAAGCGGTTCGCGAAAGAAGAAAACCTCTCGAACAGCATGGGCCTCTTCCTTCAGAAGACGAACATCATCCGCGACTACCTCGAGGACATCGTCGAAGAGCCCGCGCCGAGGATGTTCTGGCCGAAGTGCATCTGGAGCAAGTACGGCGAGACCCTCGACGTGTTCCGTCACCCGGAGAACCGAGACGCGGCGGTGTCGTGCATGAACCACCTCATCACGAACGCGCTGGAGCACGGTCTGGACTCGCTGGCGTACATGAAACAGCTCAAGAACATCGACGTGTTTCGGTTCTGCGCGATCCCGCAGGTCATGGCGATCGCGACGCTCGCGGAGTGCTACGACAACGGGAAGGTGTTCGAGGGCGTCGTGAAAATTCGCCGCGGTCTCTCCGCGCAGATCATGTTGAAAACGCTGGACATCTACGACGTCGCGGTGCAGTTCAAATCCTACTCCGCGGTCATCGCGTCCAAGGTGAACGATCGAGACCCGAACGCGACGGAGACGAGGAAAAACTTGAGCGCGATCGTCGCGAAGTGCGACGAGATCTTAGCCGAAGATTTCCAGGGGTACCAACACAAGCACGAGCCGGAGCTGCCGCTGTACGCGAGGTTCCTGATCACGTTCATGACGATCGCGTACGTGTGCTACGCTTTCCAGCTGTACGGCGTCCGCGAGCTCATCGGCGTCGAGCCGAGCAGCACGGGGATCGTTTTCGTGGACTACCTCGAACGCGGACTCAGCGTGTGCGCGTTTTTCACGTCGTGCGTCTTCCTCCTCACGGGGCAGATGCTGTGACGCCGACGCGCGGTCGCGGGTCGCCGGTCGCGGGTCGCCGGTCGCGGGTCGCGGGTGGGGATGGGGGGAGGTGGGGATTCGACGGGGGGAGCGGCGCGGAGTGTAGTCAGCGATTAGCGCGAGGTGTTCGTATACATATTCACGGTCGTTCACCGCGGTCGGTCCGCCTCGGGACGGTACGCCGCCGCCCGCGCCGCGTGGAAGGCCAAATAGTGCACACTGCGCGTGGGTCGTGGGTCGTCGTCGTCTTCAAAGCGCGTGAGGAGAATTCGTTGTTATCTCTCGTCGTCAGTCTCGCCCGGCGCCCTGGCCGCCGGCAGCACCCCGCGGGCATGATGCGCACGGGCAAGCCGAACATGAAGCGCTACGACTCGGACGTGAACTTGGTTCAAAAGTCCGTCGGCGCGCTGCACGCGTCGCCGTCGCAGGCGTCCGGCCTCGGCCGCATCGTCGAGGCGAGCGACGACTCGGGGACCGTCTCCTCGCTCACGAAGGTGATCTGCACCGTCGGCGTGAAGAGCCGCACCGTCGAAGAGCTCATCGCGCTCCTCGAGGCGGGGATGAACATCGCGCGCTTCGACTTCTCCTGGGGCTCGATGGCGTACCACACGAAGACGCTGGAGAATCTCAGAGAGGCGCAGAGGCGGACGAAGATCTTGTGCGCGACGATGCTCGACACGCGCGGGCCCGAGATCGGGATCGAGCTCGCGCCCAAGGACGTGACGTCGTTCGACGCGAACGCGCCGAGAGCGCCCGTGGTGATGACTCAAGGGAACAGGGTGACGCTCACGACGGACGCCACGGTGCCGGCGAGCGCGGCGTTCCTCCCCGTGAACACCCCGGAGCTCGTGAATTTCGTGCACCCCGGGGACGACATCTTCGTCGGGCAGTACCTCTTCACGGGCTCGGAGACGTCGTCCGTGTACCTCAAAGTCGACGAGGTGGACGCGAAAGCGGGGATGGTGACGTGCACCGCGCGCAACGACGCGAAGCTCAGCGGCGTGCTGCTCACCGTGCAGGTGGCGAACAAGCAGGGCGAAGACATGCCGACGCTGAGCGAGTGGGACCGCCGCGTCGTGAAGGAATGGGCGGCGCCGAACGAGGTCGACTTCGTGTCGGTGTCGTTCACGCCCGACGCGGCGGCGATTCGCGAGTGTAAGGAGTTGCTCGCGGACGCGGGGATCCCGGGGACGAAAGTCTTGGCGAAAGTGGAGCGACTCGCGGCGTTGCGGAACATCGACGAGATCGTCGCCGCCGCGGACGGGGTCATCCTCTCGCGCGGGAACTTAGGCTTAGACATGCCCCCGGAGAAGGTTTTTTTGTCCCAGAAGATGGTCCTTTTCAAGTGCAACGCGGGGGGCAAGCCGGTCGTCGTCACGAGGGTCGTGGACACGATGACGGAGACGCCGCGGCCGACGCGCGCGGAGGCCACGGACGTCGCCAACGCGGTGCTCGACGGCGCAGACGCGATTCTCCTGGGCGCGGAGACCCTGCGAGGCGCGTTCGCGGCGAAGACGGTGGACACCGTGCGACGGATATGCCGCCAGGCCGAGAAGGTGTTCGACCACGAGAACCACTACCAGCAGCAGCTCCCGCAGAGCGTCATGGACGAGGGCGGAGGGCTGTCGCAATCGGAGGCGTTGGCGTCGAGCGCGGTGCGCGCGGCGTCCAAGGTTGGCGCCGCGATGATCGTCGTCTTCACGCGCACGGGGCACACCGCGCGTCTCGTGTCCAAGTACCGACCGAACATGCCGATCGTGTCGCTGGTGATCCCGCGCGTGACACAGAACAGCATTCGGTGGGTGTTGGACGGCGAGCAGGCGGCGCGTCAAGGGTTGTTAAATCGCGGCGTGATCCCTCTTCTCGCGAACCCGACGAACAGCGACATGTCCGCGCTTCTCCGCGTCGTGTTCGACTTCGCGAAGAAGAAGGGGACGTTGACGGAGGGAGATCAGGTCGTCGTGATACAAAAGGTGGGTACCACGTCCGTCGTGAAGGTCGTCCCGTTCGGGAAGTCGCGAGACTCGACCGCCGCCGTCGCGTGAAGCTCGTCGAGCGACTCTCATATTTATGTACGCCACCTAAGTTATATCATCGCGGGGTATTTATTCAAAGGTCTATCTGTGCCTTCGTAGACAGACGCGGCGTTTCCTCCTCTCGAAACCCCTCACGCCCTCGCCTCTCCCAGGTTGACCCGCACGACGTGTACAGCCGCTCGGCGGCGATCATCGTGATGGCCGCCGCGTTCGGGCCCGCCGCTCTCGAAGACTCGACCCGAGAACGCGACCCGAGCGACCCGTTGAACATCATAGGCGTCGGAACGGAGACGCCGGGACGGACGGAGCGAGGAGGTAGTGAAGTGGGCGTGGATCTCATCGGTCGCGCGTGGAACATGTACGCGGAGACGACGCCGTGAGCGACGTGGAAACGGACGAACGAACGAACGAAACCAGGAACAAACGCGAAAGAAATAGCCCTGCGACGAACGACGCTTCAAGACTACGTTTCCTCCTCCGGCTCTAGAAACTTTCCCGCGTCCGCGGGCAGCACCGCGACGTGCAGCGTCGGAAACTCTAAAACGTTCTTCCCCGCGAGGTTCTCCTTGAACGTGTTCTCCAACGACAGCCTGTGATATCGCTTCGCGTTCGCGGGGCACCCGTGCTTTTCGAAATACACGCAAATCGACGCGCCGCCGCCGTCGCCTTTATCCAACGCCTTCAGCGCGTCCGTGAACCGCCTGAGCTGGTGCAGCCTCGCGGCCCTTCCGGGGCCTTGCTCGAAGTGTCTGCGCAGCGCGGCAGCGATCGTCGTGGTGTCGTCGACTTTCTCGTCCACGGCTTTCGCCGCCGCCGCCGCCGCCGCCGCCACCGCGTCCGCCGCCGCGTCCGCGTCCGCGTCGTCGTTCGCGTCCGGGATCTCGACCGCGCTCGCGCTGCTGATGCCGTGGAACAGCCACTCCACGCGCCACTGCAGGACGTCGCGTCGTCTGTCGTAGAACGTCGTGTTCGCGACGCGGCGAGCCATGCCGTCGGGCATGCACAGCAGCGTCGTCCCTCGCGCTTTCGCCTGCTGCGTCAACAGCGCGATGACTTTTCGCGACGCGGGCGCGCGCTCGGACCTCGCCGCCGCGTCCGAGCCGTCCGCGTACTGCGGCCGCCATCGCTTCGCGCGGTCCTTCTCCAAGAGCGTCTCCTCTAAGAATCGGTAGTCGCTCACGACGTCCGCGTCCGAGAACTCTCTGATGTCCTTGAACGCCGCGCGGTCGCGCTTGCCGTTGCATCCTTCCCCTCTCGTCTTGTGCGCTTTCGAGCACGCGAGCCCGCAGGTGACGGTTCCGCACCTCGGGCATCGGTACTTCCCGGGATTTTTCTCCTCGCCCTCGCACACTTGGCATTCGCCCATTCGCGACGGCGGCGCCGGCGCCGGCGGCTCCGTCTCGACCTCCGCCTCCGCCATGCTGCCGTCGTCCCCCCGCGCGGCGATCTGTGAATTCGGCGGGTGCCGAATCTGCAGATCTGCCGTCGGGAAAAAAAAACAACAACGCCGAAAGATCTCGCGCGTCGCGACTCCATGCGGCGCGCCACGGCGCGACTGGCGACGACCGGGCGCTCCTTCCTCCTCTCGCGGACGTCCCGCGGTCTCGCGTCGTCGCCTGCGCCGCCGAGACCGCCGCCGAGACGCGTGCGGCAGTACCTCGACCGCGTCAGCGAGCGGCTCCTGAGATCTCCGAAACCGACCGCCGCGACGACGCCGACGCCGATGCCGAGCGACGTCGTCGTCGACGCGCGTCGGGCGCTGGACCTCCTCGGCTCCGAGCTCGCGGCGATCCGCGCGGCCGGGCTCCCGTCGTGGCTCGAGACGCTCTCGGACCCGACGCCCGCGCGATGGATCGCGGCGCCGCGGACGTCCTCGCGCGACGCGTCGTCGTCGTCGTCGTCGTCGTCGTCGTCGTCGTCGTCGTCGGAGAGCGGCGTCGCCTCCGAACCCGGCGTGATCCTCAACCCGACGCCCGAAGACGGCCCGTGGCACGTCCTCGCGCGCGTGAAGGGCGAAGACGGCGGCGGGTACGACGCCGCCTTCTACGACGTGCGCCTGACGTTCACGCGCGCGCACCCGCGCGAGCCACCGGACGTGCACGTATTGAGCGTCGTCGTCCACGCGCTCGTGGACGCGAGCACGAAGGAAGTCGCCGGCGTTTTCTACCACCCGGATAACTTCCCGCCGAAGCGCGTCGAGCGCGTTCGAGATCCGTCGACGGGCGAAGACGTCGTGTCCGGCGCGACGTACGACGTGAAGGGGACGCTCGCGTGCGTTCGAAGATTCCTCAGCGCGCCGCCGAAGCTTCCGGGACCCGCCGACGTCGCGACTGAGCGTCAACGCGCGTGGGTGCTCGAGACGTGGACGCGCGACGCGGCGGCGAACGCGGAGCGCGAGCGGGTCATCGCGGCGTACCGCGATGGGGGAGGAGGGTGCCGCGGGATGGCGTGCGAGGCGCTGTTCGACGCGGACGCGGGGTGGAGGGAGTCGTGGTTTCACCCAGAGTTGAGAGCGGCGTTTGGCGGCGGCGTCGAGAGCGGCGGGGAACTCTCCGTCGACGCCGCGAAGGCGCTGTGCCGCGAGGAAGCCCCGGGGGTTTTCTCGTTTCCACTGTTTTCGACTGAATACGCGGAGTTGCTCGTGGCGGAAATCGAGCGGTTCGAAACGAGTGGACTCCCGGTCCGGCGGCCGAACAGCATGAACCGATACGGCGTCGTCGTAAACGAAATCGGTCTCGAGCGCATGATCGATTCGTTACAGACGCGCGTTTTATCCCCCATATCCGAGGCGCTGTTCCCGTCGCAAGGCGGCGGGTGCCTGGACGGTCACCACTCGTTCATCGTGCGATATAAACAAGGCGAGGACCTGGGTCTGGACATGCACACGGACGACTCGGACGTGACGTTTAACGTGTGCTTGGGGAAGGAAGGGTTCACCGCCGCGGGTCTGACGTTTTGCGGCGTGTTAGGCGGCGAATCGCACCGCAAGCTGTCGCTGGTGTACAAGCACGTCGTCGGGCGGTGCGTCGTGCACTTGGGCGCGCACAGGCACGGCGCGGACGACATCGGGATGGGCGAACGCTTGAACCTCATCGTGTGGAATCACAGCAGTTTGTATCGCTCGACGGACGCGTATCGGTACCGGGACGTCCCCGAGGAGACGTCGCCACCGTCGCCGGAGTGCTTGAGCTACACTCACGATAAGGACTACGGGAAGTATAAGACGTACCCGCCGGGGGCGGAGACGTTCGCGCGGACGGCGTGGTATCCCCCGACGGCGGAGGCTGTCAAAATGAAGTGACGACGAAGACGAAGACTAAGAAGATGAAGACAGTGTCTAGCAGACTGGAGCGAAGCTCCTGTCTATAGACACAAGCTGTACGAAAACGCTCTTCTCAACGGACTACGACATCGCACGCTACTCTCTCTCTCTCTCTCTCTCTCTCTTTCTCTCTCTCTCACGCGCCCATCGTCGCGAGGTCGACGCGATAGAAACACTCGAACACGATCTTCCCGTACTCGCCGAACAGCCCGAACTTCGAGTCGTCGCTCCCGCGAATCACGTTCAACTCGACGCTGCCGTCCGCGGTGGCGACTTTTATAAACTTCCCCATGCTCTCGTGCACGAACACCCTCTTCATCAGCGCGGACTTGTACGCCACCGCAGCTTCCTTCGTGCTCGAGGCGTAAATCAGCGGCGTGAGCCCTTTCCCGATGTCCGCGAGCATCGACGATATCATCCGGTTCGCCTCGACGATCAAGTTTCCGTTTTTGCGCTCTGTGAAGTAATCGTAAATTTCCGTCACCGACGTCGTGTTCACGTGCCCGACGCTCTCCGGCAGCGGCGCGTCGAGCTTGAACGCGCCCGCGAGGACGACGTTGTAGTCGTTCACCGTCGGAGGGTCGTTCCCGACGAACGACACCGACTTCAACGGCGCGTCCGGTTTCAACTCGCCCACGAACTTCTCCACGTCCTTCGCCGTCTTCAGCGGCGACCCGACGTTCTTACACAACGCCCTCTTGTGCCTCGTCCCGACCCACACGGACTCCGGGGTGATGTAAATCACCGGCTCGCCGTGCATGAGGTCATCCCACGCCGCCTGCGCCTTGCCTTCCTCGCTCCACGCGTACAACACCGTCTTCGACGACGGGTCCTCCGGAGGCTTGAACTTTGGCCCCATCACGTCGACCGATCCCCCGGACACCAGTCCTCTCTGACGCTTCGTGAGCTCGACGACCTCGATGACGCCCTCGGGCGAGTCCGCGTTCACGTCCGCGCTGTACTTCAAGAACGCGTACGTCCCGTCCGCGAGATTGTTCGCCTTGGACGCGAGCTTCGTGTACGCGTCCCAGTACAGCTGCCTTCTCTTGTGCGCGCCGATGGATTTGGAGCTCTCTTTGAGCTTCTCGAGCGTCGCCGCGAGGTCCGCGGCGGTCATCCCGCACGAGAGCGCGAGGACGATGAGCTCCTGCGACGCCATCGCGGTGGGACGCCGGGGACGGGGTGGGGACGCCGCCGCCGGGCTGAGGGGTCGAGCGCGTGCGTTGGTGTGATGATGACATGATAATAATAAGGTTAAAAAGTGGTACAGACACAACTATTGCTGCAAGCTTATCGACCCGGCCGGTTCGGCGGACACTTTGTGTTGGTCATTTTTTCATTGTGGCTTCGTGATCGGATTACGTACGTACCATTCGTAATTACTCTCACGAATCGACTTTACAGTCCTCACGAATCGGCTCCAGTGCCCGGGTTTGCTCTCTTCTATCTGTCTCTTCATAAGTTTAGCCTCACGTGCACAGAAAGCGGCGCTCCGCTCCCCATCTTTGAGGAGACGCAACATCTCAGCGGTTCGCGGCACGAGATTTATATCGTATGATACGATAAGTTCCAACGCGACGAATTCATTCACGAGCCCACATTCTTTTGCTTCCCACAACGCGACCCGCGGGTCCTCGCTGCCGCATCCAAAACCTGCTAAATCAGACAAAAAACTGCCAGCTTTCGAGAAAGGTTTATCGATTTCTTTCCCGGTCCGCAAGCCGGTCGGTAAGGGCGTAGTAGGTCCGCCCGACATTCGGAGAGCTTTGATGAGAAGCGAGTACTTCTTCTTCTTCATGAGAACGTACTCGACAAGCCTTTGCGCCTGCGCGACGTTGTACACGATCCCTGACGCCACGAACAGAGCCTTGAGCATTCCCATCTTCTCGCCCATTTCCATCTTCACGCTAGTCTCTCTCGCGGTTTTGATCAAACACAGGAGCTCGTGGTGTAAATCCATCGCTTTGATGTCTTCGGGAAACGCCCAACCCCACTCCTTGAGTAATATCAGCCATTGAGGATCCGTTTCACCACTGATGTTAAGGCATTGCACCTTGTGATTCGCCCAGTCTCTCTTCTGGCACGCGCGGCTGCAGTAATACTCAACCTGAGGGCGATTCCAGAAAAGTTCAGCGGTCAGTTAAAAGGGGGCGCGATCAAATGTTGAAACGGAGCGGTGGGTGATGCATGGAACGCACCTGACACCTCGCGCACTTGTACGCGGTATTCTTCTGGCCGCGAGGTAGTTTCTCGCACAAGGTGCAAACGCGATGATTAAGCTTCATCTGCCGCCGCCGCTCGTCCGTGAGCGTGAACTTCGACTTCAGCTCCTCCTCGTCCACGTCGTCCTCCTCAGCCTCCGTCTCCCGTTCCGATTCGTCCTCGTCCTTCCAGACGAACCGACCCGAGCTCGATCGAGACCCGGTGCACCACTGATACACGTCGCGAAAATCCTCGTCTTTGAGGACGTTGGGAAGGCTCTCCTCGCAACCGGGGGGGTAAAACGCCTCGATGTACTCGCGCATGTGGAGCAGCGCTTTGGCGCCGTCGCCGTAATCTTCCTGTATCTCCGAACACGTTGTCGGGCTACTGAGGTTCACGTTGAATACGCAGTCCTTATCCTTTGAGGATGAATAGGAGTAACGCGCGCACTCGTACGTGTGCTTCTTGCTCCACCATCTCGGGAGGAATCCACCGTTCCATCGCCCGCGAGGCTTCGCTTCGTTGACGACGCGGAAGAAGTGCAACAGACCGTTGTCCCCTCCCTCGTATTGCTCCGAGAGAGCGCCGACTTGTTCACCGGTCCGAGTCCATATGTCGTACACGCGAAGTCGCGTCGCGTCGATAAGCCTTCTGTACACGTCGGTGAGCTTATTCGCGTTGTTGTTAAACATCCACGCGCCGGCTTCGTCCCATGCCTCGAGGTTCTCGCTCTTAACCGTGACGACCTCCTGGTCTGATGAGCCTTCTTCGCCTTCGAGCACGCCGAGGAGGACCGCCCATCGGCCTGTCTCCGCGACGTGCGATTGCACGACGCCGAAGCGGCCGTTGAGCTCCGGTCGCGCTTTCAGGGAGTGCAGCTCGACGGTTTTACCCTCGCTCACTCGACGACGATCGCGACTCGGAACGGGTTTAGGCGTCGGCGCGGCGTGTCCAGCCCAACCCTCGGGCGGCATCCAATAGTTGTCAGTTTCGACGCGAGGCATCTCGTACTCGTCCACGTCGCGCGATCCTCGTCTGTCGCAATCGTCTCGCCCCGCTCCGCGAGCCGCGCGACGAGACGACGACGCCGCCGACAGCGACGCGCGGCGGTGGCGCCGCGCGAAGTGTCGTGAAGACAAACCCGACAGCTCGAAAACGACGGACCAGACTTTTCAGATCTATCAGGAGTGCTCAGATCGAGACGCGCGAGAAGTACCGGATGGACGGCTCCGTGAAGGTGTGCTTCACCTCGGACGTCCACGGGAACTGCGGGCACCTGCGACGCGTCCTCGCGCGCGCGACGCGCGAGGGATGCGACGTCGTCGTTCTCGGCGGCGATCTCGCGCCGCGCGGAAGCGGCATGGGTTTCGATGGAAAAACGCTGCGAGACACCAATCTCCCGCACCTTCCGGACGGGACCCCGGACTGGCAGCACGACGGCGCGCTGACGTACATGCGCGATGCGTTCAAGCGCCAAGGCGAGTGGTTCACCGAGGTGTTGATTCCGATGCTCGCCGCGTGCGACGTGCCCAGCGTGTGCCTCTTCGGGAACAGCGACTGGAAGAGTCATCTCGAGACGTGCCGACGCGCCGCCGCGTCGACGGGCGGGCACGTGCGATTCGTCCAAGGCGAGGGCGACATGTTCACGATCGCGTCGAGGACGACGACCGCGACGACGGTGGACGTCATGGCGTGCTCGCTCGTGCCGCTGTGTAACCACAAGAAGAAGGACTGGGAGAGGATGGACACGCGCGACGTCCGCGACACGAGCGACCGCGCGCCCGTTCGCTGGGGGTTCGTCTCGGCGCCGGGGGAGGAGGGCGGGATCAAACGATGTGAGCTGCCGGTCACCGCGGAGGCCGCGGCGACGACGTCGATGGAGGCGGTGTTAGAGAGACTGATCGCGTCGTGCGCGGAGGAGAGGAAAGAGAAGAAACCGCCGGCGATGTGGGTGCTGCATCCGCCGCCGCGGGATTCGATCGGCGACTTGACGCACAGAGGCGAACGCGTCGGGTCGATCGCGATTAGACGCGCGATAGAAACGCACGCGCCCGCGGTGACGTTGCACGGGCACATACACGAGAGCGTGGAGATGCACGGGGGGAGGTTCAGCGAGGTTGTGAAATCGGGCGAGGGCGGTGAGCGCGAGACCGTGATCGTGTCCGTCGGGAACGACTTCAAAGTAGAAAATCCATACGTCATTTTCTTGGACACCGCGGCGCCGAGAGACGCGCGACGCGTGGAGGTTCTCGAGTAGCACAGCGCGGTGGCGTAGTCGTAGCGATGATAGGCGAGGTGGTGGTGGTGACGCGCGCGAAGGTAGTTCGTTTTTATCATATTAAACAAGAAAAATGTGATGGAACAGAACAAGTGTACGTGTACAACTCCTCACTCTGGACGTTTCGTCTTCGACGTGAAGAGAGGTTTTATTTCCACCTCCCCTCCGCGCACCTCTGCTCACCTCGCCGGCGTTGGCGCCTCCTTCCTCGCGGCGCCGTCCGACGACGCGTCCTTGTCCGCTAACGTCGCGGACTCGCCCATGAGGAACCGGTCAACCTTCGCGGCGGCGCCTCGGCCTTCGGAGATGGCCCAGACCACGAGCGACTGCCCGCGGCGGCAGTCCCCCGCGGCGAAGACGCCGGGGACGGACGTCTCAAACTCGCCAAACTCCGCCTTGAAGTTGGAGCGGTCGTCCACGTCCAACCCGAGCTTCTCCGCGAGGTTTTGCTCCGGCCCTAAGAACCCCATCGCGAGGAGGACCAAGTCCGCTTTCCACACCTTCTCGCTCCCGGGGACTTCCTCGAAGTTCATCCGCCCCGTCGCCGGGTCTTTGCTCCACTCCACGCCGACGGTTTTCACGCCGCCGATGCGCTTCCCGTCTTCGGAGGGGATGAACGCCTTCGTGAGCACCTCGTACGTGCGCGGATCTTTCCCGTCTCTCACGGTGGCTTCCTCGTGGCCGTAGTCGACGCGGAAGATGCGCGGCCACTGCGGCCACTCGTTCCCGGGCGCGCGCGTCGCCGGCGGCTGCGTCATGAGCTCGAAGTTCGTCACGCTCTCGCACCCGTGCCTGAGCGACGTGCCGATGCAATCCGTCCCGGTGTCGCCGCCGCCGATGACGATGACGTTCTTCTCCTTCGCGTCGATGTAGTTGCCGTCCTCGAGGTTCGAATCCAAAAGCGACTTCGTGTTCGCGTGGAGGAACTCCATCGCGAAGTGCACGCCCTCGAGGTCGCGCCCCTCCACGGGGAGGTCGCGCGGCTTAGTCGCGCCGCACGCGAGGACGACGGCATCCGTCGCGTCCTTGATGTCCGCGATGGACGGGTGCCCCTCCGCGCCGATGTGCGCGTTGGTCACGAACTCGATCCCCTCCGCGGCGAGGATGTCCACGCGGCGCTGCACAATCTCTTCCTTGTCCGCTTTCATGTTCGGAACGCCGTACATCATGAGGCCGCCGACGCGGTCGGAGCGCTCGTACACGGTGACGGCGTGCCCGGCTTTGTTGAGCTGGTCCGCGGCGGCGAGACCCGCGGGACCCGAGCCGATTACGGCCACCTTCTTCCCCGTGCGCGTCGCCGGCGGCGTGGGGACGATCCATCCCTCCTCGAACCCGCGGTCGATGATCGTGCACTCCATGGACTTGATCGTGACCGGGTTCTCGATGATCCCCAGCGTGCACGACCCCTCGCACGGCGCCGGGCACACGCGGCCGGTGAACTCGGGGAAGTTGTTCGTCTCGTGGAGACGGTCCAGCGCGTCGCGCCACCTGCCCTGGTGCACGAGCTCGTTCCACTCCGGGATCTTGTTGCCGAGGGGGCACCCGCTGCCGGTCTGGTGGCAGTACGGCGTCCCGCAGTCCATGCATCGCGCGCTCTGCGTCGCGAGGAGGTCGTGGGTCACGTCCGAGGACTCGTGCTTCATGACTTCCTTCCAGTCCTTGAGGCGTTCCGTCGCGTCGCGGTAGCCGAGAGGCTCGCGCTCGTACTCGACGAAGCCGCGAATCTTCTTCGGCGACGTCAGGCGCGTCGGGCGGGTCACGACGTTGGACTCCTTGTCCGCGAGCGAAGAGATCGCCTTGAGCGCCTCGAACGCGTCCTTCTCCTTGAGCGCCTTGGCGTCCGCGTCGTTCTGCTCCTTCGCCTTTTGCGCTTCGATGACCTTTTTGTAATCGCGCGGGTACACCTTGACGAACTTCTTCTTCGCGTTGAACCAGTCGCCTAGAATTTCCGCGGCGACGTCCGAATCCGTGCGCTCCTTGTGCTCCGCGATGAGCCCGTGCACGAGCGCCTCGTCCTCGTCGTTCTCGATCGCGTAGAGGTCAACCTCGGACCTGTTGCAGTTCGCCGGGAACGCCCCCTCCGGGTCGTACACGTACGCGATGCCGCCGGACATCCCCGCCGCGAAGTTCCTCCCGGTGGAGCCGAGGATGCACACGACGCCGCCCGTCATGTACTCGCAGCCGTGGTCGCCGACGCCCTCGACGACGGCGTGCGCGCCAGAGTTGCGGACGCAGAAACGCTCCGCGGCGATGCCGCGGAAGAACGCCTTCCCCGCGGTCGCGCCGTACAGCGCGACGTTCCCGATGATGATCGAGCTGCGCGTGTCGAACGTCGCGTCGGCGGGCGGGCGGACGACGATTTCGCCGCCGCTGAGGCCCTTGCCGACGTAGTCGTTCGCGTCGCCGGTGACCTCGATGGTGACGCCCTTGCACGTGAACGCGCCGAGGGACTGCCCCGCGCTGCCGTTCAGCTTCACCGTGATCGTGCCCGTGGGCAAGCCCTCTGCGGCGTACTTCTTCGTGATCTCGTGCGACAGCATCGTCCCCACCGTGCGGTTCACGTTTTCAATCTTGCCCTCGTAGACCACCTTCTCGCCAGACTTGATCGCGGGCTCCGCCGCCGCGATGAGCGCGTTATCGAGCGCGAACTCGAGGCCGTGGTCTTGCTTGCCGACGTTGCGCACCGCCGCGCCCGGGCGGATGCTCGCGGACGGCGTGAGGAGGCGCTCGATGTCGATCCCCGCGAGCTTCCCGCGCGCGTTGATGACGTCCGCATCCGGAATCATCAGGTCGCTTCTCCCCACGAGCTCGTCCACGGAGGTGTATCCCATCGCAGCCATGTGCCCGCGGAGGTCCTCCGCGAGGAGGAAGAAGAAGTTCACGACGTGATCCTCCTCGCCCTTGAACTTGGCGCGGAGGGTCTCGTCCTGCGTCGCGATCCCGACCGGGCACGTGTTCTTGTGGCACTTCCGCATCATGATGCACCCCATCGTCATGAGCGGCGCGGTGGAGAGGCCCCACTCTTCCGCGCCGAGGAGCGTCGCGACGAGAAGATCCCGACCCGTCTTGAGCTGGCCGTCCGTCTGCAGCACGGTGCGGCCGCGGAGGTCGTTCGCGACGAGCGTCTGCTGCGTCTCCGCGAGCCCGAGTTCCCACGGAAGACCCGCGGATTTGATCCCGGTCCACCGCGACGCGCCAGTGCCGCCGTCGTGTCCGGAGATGAGGACGTGGTCGGCTTTGCCCTTGACAACGCCCGCGGCGATCGTCCCGACGCCGTTCTCGGAGACGAGCTTGACGCTGACGCGCGCGGACGGGTTCGAGTTCTTCGCGTCGTGGATCAGCTGCGCGAGATCTTCGATGGAGTAGATGTCGTGATGCGGCGGCGGCGACATGAGGCCGACGCCGGGGGTGGACATCCTCGTCGCCGCAATGTCGCCCTGGACCTTCGTCCCGGGGAGCTCGCCGCCCTCGCCGGGCTTCGCGCCCTGCGCCATCTTGATCTGGATCTCGTCGCTGTTGCTGAGGTAGTAGGCGGTGACGCCGAAGCGCCCGGACGCGATCTGCTTGATCGCGGACCTCTCCGGGTTGTTCGAGCCGTCCGCCTGCGGGACGAGACGCTTGGCGTTCTCGCCGCCCTCTCCGGTGTTCGACTTGCCGCCGAGCCGGTTCATCGCCCTCGCGAGCGTCGCGTGCGCTTCCAGGGAGATCGAACCGTACGACATCGCGCCGGTGCAGAACCGCTTCACGATCTCGCTCGCGGGCTCGACCGTCTCGATCGGCACGGGCTCGCGGTCGCTCTTAAACTTGAGCATGCCGCGGAGGTTGCACCCTTTGTTGAGCTTGTCCGTGATGTCTGCGTACTTGCGGTACTCCGCCGGGGAGTTGTTCCTGCTCGCCGCTTGTAAAGCCTCGATCGCGGCCGGGTCGTTCAGATGACGCTCCGTCGGGACGCCGTCCTTGTCGCCGCGCCAGTGATACTCGCCCGAGTTGCGCAGCGTCGACGACTCCGCGCGGCCTTCGGGGGTCATCGCGCGTTGCGGGAACCCCATCGAGTGCAGTTCGATCGCGTCCTTCGCGAGCTGCTCGAACCCGACGCCCTCGACGCGGCTCACCGTGCCCTTGAAGCACTTCGCGACAACCTTGGAGTTCAGACCGAGCGCTTCGAAGATCTGCGCGCCCTTGTACGACGCGAGCGTGGAGATGCCCATCTTGGCGAAAACCTTGAGCATGCCGTATTCCACGGCGTGGAAGTAGTTGGCGACGAGTTGCTCCACCGGCGCGGGCTCCTCCTTCCCGGGCGCGTTCGGGACGAGGTTGTCCTCGCGCAGACGCGAGATGGCGTCCACGGCGAGGTACGGGCAGACGCCGTCCGCGCCGAACGCCGCGAGCGCGCAAAAGTGGTGCACGTCCCTCGCCTCGGCGGATTCGAGAAGAATCGCGACGCGCGTGCGCTCCATCTTTCGCACGAGGTGATGATGCACCGCGCCGACGGAGAGGAGCGAGGACACCGCGACGCGCGCGGGGCCCGCGGCGCGGTCGGACAGGACGATGCACGCGACGCCGTCCGCGACCGCGGCGGACGCCTCCTTCGCGAGGAGGTCGAGGGTCTTCTCCAAGCCGGCTTCGCCTTCGGTGAGGTCGTACGTCGCGTCGAGGACTCTCGACGTCCACCCCGTCTCCGTGGTCCCCATCGCCTTCAGGGCTTCCATCTGCTCGGGCGTGAGGAGCGGCGACTTGAGACGCAACCTGTGCGCGTCCTTCGCGGACGTCGAGACGAGGTCGCCCTCGGGGCCGACCATGCACTCGAGCGACGTCACGACGGCTTCGCGAATCGGGTCGATCGGCGGGTTGGTGACCTGCGCGAACATCTGCTTGAAGTATTCAAACGTCAGCTTCGGGATCTCGGACATGACCGCGAGCGGGGCGTCGTTCCCCATCGAACCGAGCGCCTCGGACCCGGACGCGATCATCGGGAGGAGGATCATGTCCAGGGCTTCGCGCGTGAACCCCGCGGCTCGGAGCGGTCCGAGCGCGCCGACGAGGCCGTCGTCCGCGAGCTTGGCGCCGTTGATTTTCGGCTTCGCGAGATCTCCGGCGGCGGCCACGACGTCCTCGAGCTCGATGACCTCGTCCTTCACCCACTTCGCGTACGGGTTCTTCGCCGCGATCTGCGCTTTCATGTCCGCGTCTTGAAGGATCGTCCCCTTGTCGAAGTCGACGAGGAGGATGTTCCCCGGACGAAGGCGGCCCTTTTGCGCCACGTCCGCCGCGTCGATGTCCACGACGCCCACCTCGGACGCCATGACGATCCGCGGCGCGTCGCCCTTGGTGACGTAGAACCGGCCGGGGCGAAGACCGTTGCGGTCGAGCGTCGCTCCGACTTGGTTCCCGTCCGTGAACGTCACGAGCGCGGGGCCGTCCCAGGGTTCCATCTTCGCGGACATGTACTCGTAAAACGCTCTTCGCGACGGGTCCATGTTCGGGTTGTTCTGCCACGCCTCCGGGATCATCATCATGATCGACTCCGCGAGGGAGCGACCGCCGCCGCGGACGAGGAGCTCGAGCACCGCGTCGAACGCGCCAGAGTCGGACAGGCCGCCTTCGATCGTGGGCACGATCTCAGCCTGTAACTCTTTCGAGATCCCGAGCTCCTTCGAGACGTCGATGAGTCCCTCGCGCGCGAGCATCCAGTTCTGGTTCCCCTTGAGCGTGTTAATCTCGCCGTTGTGGCCCATCATGTGAAGCGGCTGCGCGCGGTCCCACGACGGGAACGTGTTCGTGGAGAACCGCGAGTGCACCAGCGACAGATAGGCGGTGAATCGCTCGTCTTGAAGGTCGGGATAGTACGGCATCACCTGGTCCGGCTTGAGCTGCCCCTTGTACACGACAGTTCGCGACGAGAACGAGCAGCAGTAGAAGTCGTCGAGGTACTCCGTGAGCTTCACGTCGCGGCCTTGCTTCACGCGGACGCCCGCGAGTCGTCGGAGGACGTAGAGCGCGGTTTCGATGTCGATCTCTTTCCCCGCGGCGGAACCCGCGTTGGGCTTCACGAAGAGCTGCGCGACGTCCGGCTCCGTGGACATCGCGCTGTCGCCCAGGTCCGCGCCGGCGGAGTCCACCGGGACGTCTCTCCAGCCGATGACGTCGAACCCCAGGTCTGCGCACGCCTTCTCCACGCCGGCGACGCACGCGGCTTTCGCGTCGGGATCGTCCTTCGGGAGATAGAACATCCCGAGGCCGTACTCCCCGGGCGCGGGGAGATCGAAGTCCGTGACGTCGTTCAGGAAGCCGTGCGGGATCGAGGATAAGATCCCCGCGCCGTCGCCGGTGTTTTCCTCGCACCCGCACGCGCCGCGGTGGGTCATGCGGACGAGCATTTCTAGCGCCTGGGTCACGTTTTGCCTCGTGGGCGTCTTCGTGAGCTCGCCCACGAACCCGACGCCGCACGCGTCCTTGTCGTTCTCGGGGTTGAACAGGCCCTGCGGGTTTCGTCGTGGGAGGGTGGGGGGACGCGTGAACGTGAGAATGCGGTCGATCGCGGGGGAGCACGAGGCGCGCGAGGGGGACGAACGATCGGGGTCTTCCTATGAATGAAGATCGCTCGAATTGTTTCCCGCGCGCGAAAAAAAGCGCAAGATGAATTCGAGCGCCGAGCGCACCTGCGCTTCCGGGACGGACGAGTGCTTCGCGTCCACGCGGAGCGCGCCGCCTCTAGCGAGACGCATGGGCTTCACGCTTCGGAGCGTCGCGCGGAGCCCGGTGCGTCGACCGCCGAGGAACGGGGTGTGTCCGGATCGAACGATCGTCGACGCCGTCGGCGTGGAAAATCGCGAACCGGCGGATCCCGCGCTCGGTCTCGCGCCGACCCTGGCGTTCTGCGTCATCATCGCGTTCGCCGACGCCATGACGGTCTCGTGTTTGTTCGCTTCTCTCGGCTACCGCGAGATCGTGCCTTGGCGCGATTCGTGCGCAGCGAAGACAGCCGCACGCCGGCGGCGGTCTTTCGCTAACATTCGCGGGATATTTCGGGTTGGTCGGGGTACTTTTTGAGCGCTTTACCGCGTACTACGTTTTCGACGTAATTTCGTATGAGCATTTCGCACTCAAAATATCCCCCGAGCACCGGGTGTGACGTCGCCGAATCTAGGATCTGCCAAAAGTTCGGCAGCCGAACCGGACTTCAGTTCGAGTTCGTTGGGTCGCGGAAGAAACTGTAGCCCTAAGTCGCTTGCACTCGCTGACGAGTCCTCCTACCGACGGTCACGCCCCCTCTCTCCCAGGCAACCCTCCCATCCCCGCCATCTCCCCGTCCTCCGCGTTCCCCGCCCTCAGCACCTCGCGCATCCTCTGATCCACGCGCGCGCACCCGCTCGCGCACAGCCGCGTCGCCGTCTCCAACGCGTCGCAATCCCAACGACCCGTCGCCACAGCCTGCGTCGCCTCCCCCGCGGCGCACGCGCACGCGACGACCACGCTCCCGGACGCGCGCCCTTCCTCGCTCGCGCTCGGGTCCAGCACCAACGTCTCTTCTCCATCGTCGCCGCGCACGCGCGCGACCGCGCACGCGGAGACGAGGTCGCGCATCGCCACCCCCGCGTCGGCGAGCGCGACGCTCGCCGCCGCGATCGTCGCCGAGAGCTCGCCGCCCCCCGTCTCGAGCACCGTGGCGTAGACGTCCACGGCCGTCTTCGGGAACGTCTCCGTCATGATCGCGCCCTCCAGCGCGCGGTGGACGAGGGACGCGAACTCGCGCTCGGCGTCGCCCTGCGTCGCCTTCCCGCGCGCGCCCGGCGTGGCGAACGTCGCGAGCTTTACGTCCACCTCAACCTTGCCGCGTCTTAAGTTCGCGCCGTCCATCTTCCCGCCCTGCCGCGGGCCGTACACCGCGCACATCACCTTCGTCGCGTCGAGCTCGACGTACGCGGAGCCGGAGGCTTGGCTGATGACGCCGGTCTTGATGACTGTTGGGACGAGGACGCGCAGTCACGGGGGAGCGTGAGCGACGGGGCGAGGTGGACGGACGGAGGCTATCGTCGGCATCGTCGGCGCGGGCGCGGGATGATGCGATCGGTCGATCGATCGAGGGGGGCGTCGCGCGCGCGCGCGGGATAGGATCGCGGCGCGGGGTTCGATGGCCGACGCACATATCGAGCGCATCTGTTCCGCCTCGCGCCCGTCTTCGCGCGCGAGCGTCATCGCGACCGCGCGCGCGACCGCGTCGACGTGCCGGTGCCGCGCGCGAACGACTGCGAGCGTTCGTCTCAGATGTGGGCGCTTTTCCGGCGTCGCGTCGTTCGCGCGAGCCGAGGCCATCACATTACGCGCGGCACGGCGCCACAGCGCGATGCCGCCGCGTCCTCCCCGGGACGAGTGGGTCCGTCCCCGGGGAGCGCCGCTTCCACCGCCGGACCCGCGGGCGCCGCCGCCGCCGTGGCTCCTTCCGAGGCCGCCGCCGCGGACGCCGCCTCCGCCGATGCCGCCATCGGAATCCGGGATCCCCCCGCCGGGGCTCCTAACGTGGGACAACGTCGTCCCGTGGCCGCCGTCTCGCGAGGAAGCGCGCGCGACCGCGGACGCGTCCGTCCCCGGCGGGCTCGTGTTGTGGCACCGGGACAGGGACAGCCTCCCCGGGGACGAGGAGGAGGAGGACGACGAGGACGACGAGGCGTTCGACGAGGACGAGGACGAGGACGAGACCGCCGCGGCGTTCGAGCTCGACGCGGCGTGGATCGAGCGCTTCGCGAAGACCGAGGTCGCGCGCCGCGCGAGAGACGCGGAGCGACGACGGAGCGCGAGGCGCGCGACGCGGCCGAAGACGCGCGCGGCGCTCGTCGCGGAGGCGAAGGTGACCGAGACGCTCGCGAAGAGAAGAGCCGCCGAGCGCGGAGAGAAGCGCGGGGGCGGGGACGATGTCCCCGCGGACGACGCGGACGCGATGTACGGCGAGAGCGGCGCGAGGGACGTCGCGGAGCTCGAGGCGAGGTTGAACGCGACGTTCGACGCGATCGTGGACGCGTCGCGGCCGCCGTTTTGGCCGTGCGAGCCGCTGCGGTGAACGGCGGGCGTTTCGGTCGGGCGTCGGAGACTCGCGTCGGAGGGAATAGGACGAACGGGAACGTCCGAGGTTGCGCGTAGGCTACGTATAGTTAGATAGCTAACATCATCGATCATAGCAAGTTGATGCTCTTCTGTGGCTTCTCCGAGAGCGGCCCTTTGCGAAAGTTCACCCTCCACCCGCTCGGCTCCGACGCGGGCGGCTGCGGCGCGCGTCCGTACTCCTCGCGTTCGCTCGAAAGTTTCGCCTCCATCTCTCTGTGTCGTCGCGTCATTCGCTTCGCGCGCGCCGCCTTACCGCCTCTCTGGGACGTGAGCCGCTCTAAGCACGCGGCGACGGCGTCCACGGGCTTGAGCGCGTTCGCCGTCGCGAGGTCGCCGCCGTGCGACGGCGCGAGCTTCGGCGCGTACGACGGTTCCCGGAACGACGCCTGGTGCGCGAGGACGCCCGCGGCGGTGCGCGCGCGCGACGGTTCCTCCATCCACGTCACCGAGGTCATGACGCTCGCTTCGTGCCTCAGCGGCGGTCGCGCCGCCTTCACCGCGGAGTTGACGCTCACGAAGGACGGCTCCGCGGTCAGGCGCGACGACGGCTCTTTTTTCAGCGCGCCTTTCGACTTCGTCGACGTCTTCGTCGCGTTGTGCGCGTTGACCCACGCCTTGACGGGGAGCTCGTAAATCGCGATCGCGTCCGCGGCGGCGACGCGATCGCGCGGGGGCTCCTCCTCCGCCGGCGCGTCCGCGTCCGCGTCCGCGTCCTCTCCCTCCGCGGCGGCCTCTCCGTCGTCGACGTCCTCTGCGGCGTCCGCGGGCGGCGCGTCCGCGGGAGGCGCTTCCGTCGCGCCTTCCTCGCCGTCCGCGGCGGGGGCGTCGCCGCCGTCGCCGTCGGTCGGCGCCTCAGCCTCGCTCGCGGGCGCGGCGAACGCCTCCGCGACCGGCTCAGGCTCCGGCGGCGGGAGCTTACGCACGCCGACGCACGCGACGACGCCGCCGCGGTAATGAAGCATTACTTTCCCGTCCTCGCCTCTGGCGAACGCGTACCCTTCCGGGGGCTCGATGACTTGCGAGACGTCGCTGCGCGCGGTCAAATCGACGAGTCGCAACGACGCGCCGTGCGTCGCCTCGTCGCTCGCGCGCGTCGCCTCCTCCTCCTCCTCCTCCTCGTCGTTCTCCTCTTCGGAGTCCCACGGATCCCGCGCCGGCTTCGGCGGCGCGAGCCCGGCGACGAACGCGAGCGAGCCGTCGCCCTTCTGACACGTCAGCGTCTCCGCGAGCACGGCGCCGTTCCGCTGCCTCAACGCCGTCGGCGGCGGCGGCGGCCGCGCGCCCGCCGCGGCGCGTTCCGTGGGGAACAGCGCGATCCAGCCGCGCGTGGACGCCGCGGCGACGACGGGCGACGGCCCGGGCGCGTCCCCCCAGAACGACAGCGCGACGCACCCGACGGGCGCGGTCGCCTCGTGCCTCCTTCTTCCGGGCCCGCGACTGCACACGGTGGAGGCGTCGTCGTCGAGCTCGCCGTCGAGCGCGCTGAGGCGCTCGAGCGTGCGTCCGACCACGCCGAGGCGCATGTTGAACAGCATCACGCTCCCGTCCGTAAGTCCGACCGCGAGGAGGGTCCCTTTGTCGTTCGCACACGAGGACGACACCGGGAACGGCGTCGTCCAATCGCACGCTGGGAAGGACTCGGTCACCGCGACAGGCGGCGGCGGGGCTACGTCCTCGCCGCCGCCGCCCTCCTCGCCCTCCTCCGTCTCCGCTGACGGCGAAGGCTCGGCGTCGCCGCCGTCGCCGTCGCCGTCGCCGTCGCCGTCGCCGTTCGCGTCCGCGACGGGATTCGGCGCGCGTAACGACGGCGCGCGGGTGAAGCGCGGCGCGATGTTTCGCGCGCCACCGAGCTGGTACATCATCACGCGGTTGCGCCCCGGCCAGGTCACGTACACCGCGTCCGCGGCGGAGGCGCGCGCGAGCCGGAAGTGCGTCGTCGGCGCGGTCGTGGGCTCGTCCTCGATCCCATCGGACGCTTCGCGCGTCGCGGCGTCGCCCCCGCCGTCGCCGTCGCCGTCGCCGTCGCCCTCTGGCTCTGGATCCGCCGCCTCGGGCGCCGCCGCGGGGTCTTCGTCGCCGGCGGCGGCGGCGGCGCCGTCGGCGTCCGTCTTTTCCGGCGACGCGCGCGCGGCGGGAGGGACGTACCTCGCCTCGCCGAGCGTCTCCGCGGCCACGGACGCGGGCACCCACGCGAGTCGAGTCATCGCGACGGACTTCTCTTCCTCCTTCGTTCCCTCGGGCGCCTCCCCCTCCCCCTCCCCCTCCGCCGGCGTTTCTTCGCCCGCCTCGCCTTCGCCCTCCTCCTCCGCGGCGGCGGCGGCGGCGGCGGCGTCGTCTCCGTCGATCGCCGCGCTCGCGTCTCCGCCCACCTCAGGCTTAGGCCAGTCCTCCAGGGATAACGGCGGCACGGAGAACACGCCGAACCCGCCGCCGGCGCATCGCACGACCAACGTCCTCGCGTCCGG